GCTAGTTTGAATTTGCACACAAACTGTCTTTGCAACCCTAACTTCAAGCCTTCCTGGCTAGATGACTGTCATGACATGTTCTCAAACATGTAAATTCTATACACCTGTTCTTTTCCTAATGGCAGACTGGTTCAAACCTAGCAAGCAGCAGGCCTAGTAAGTGGCAATGGCTCACAAGTGGACTGCTGAAGACTTTTGCCATGAGCTCCAGCATGTTGCCAACCTCTTGGTGAAGCGGCCCAACTCTCAAATGGGAGAAGCTTGCTTGGTTTCTTTGAAGCAGAGGCTCACCAATGTTACTGACATGACTGCTAGCACATTGTCTGCTCTCTACGACAAAGTGGAAGCTGCTGAGTTGCCTCAAAATATCAAGGATGATATTTTGCAGACAATGGATAGCTTGTCAGTGTCCACAGAGAGCAACCTGCAACTGGAAACCAAAGCTTCCTCTCTGCACTGCTTGCCTCCTTACCTCACCACTGCTGACTGGAAGGCTTTGTCTCAATGTCACGTTTTGGATGCCATGAGAATCATGTCTGAAAGAATGAAGAAATTGGGCATCAAGTCCATGAAGGAAGAGACAAAGAAGACTGCAGTGGCCACACTTCTGCACTTGCATGTGACTGTGCACAAGAACCCATTGCCTTGTGCTTGGACCATCTATGGAATGGTTGTGGACTTGGCTCAGGTTTTCAACCATACTGAGGTTGGTCAGTCAGTTCCTGGGTTGAAAATGTACCCTAGCAGCCCAAGCCAATTGGCAAAGGATTGGTTGAAGAAGGCCTATGGAAATGAAGAGCCTTCAATGTCTGACCTTTCTGTGGCCACCTTCTACCCAAAGATTCCACTGAGGTCCACTTCGAGTTTGCTTTGGGCTGAAGCACCAGCTCACTGCAAGCACCTTCAGAAGGGGAATGCCAAGAAGGAGCCTGCAGATCCTTTGATGAGCAAGCTCAATGACTTCATGGAGAAATGGGACTCCAAGCAGGACCAAGAAAAGTTGCAGAACATGCAACACAGCAGAATGAACCCACTGCCTTTGCAGAATACTGGTCAGCAGGCCATGTCAGGTCTGTCTGGATGGCCTGTGCAGCCCAGTGCTGGGTCCAGACCTGACCATGCTGGACCTTTGCCATTGCAAAATGGCACACCTGCTGCTGAGGCTGTGGAGACCAAGGCCAATGACAAACCTTCATTGGAGGACATTGAGACCAAAGCTTGGGAAGCTTTGCAAAAGAAAAGGAGCAATGCCAAGGCTAAGTCACAGCCTGCAAGCAAGAATAGAAACAAAAAGAAAGTGTTGAAACGCCCAGCAGCTTCCTCAAGTACTGCTTTGACACGAGCCAGTGTCCAGAGAGTCAACAAAATCTATGGGTGCACAAGATGTCGTGGAAATGTGAAAGGATGTACTCAGTGCTGGGATGACACTTTCACTGGGAAGAGATTCTCCTCCAGAGAAGAATGGAAGGAATGGGCCAAGCAAAACAACAAGAAGTGAAATGGCAGTGGCTAGGTTTGAATGTGGGGTGCCAAAGGCACACTTTAGTGCTTTTGCTTTCTGGGTTCCTGCAGCAGCCACCAGTGCAAATCACTGAAGATGAGCTGTTAGCAAGCAATAAGATTTCCTCCAACAATGGCAAAAAGAAAAGGGACTGCAAGCCTGCTATGGCTGGTGAGAAGTGTTTTGTCAAGCCTAAATGGCTGTACCTTTGCAAGCACAGGTGGCTCAACTATAGTGCTCTTCTAACCTCTTGTCTTCCAAGTCCCAGTGGCTAGTTGCTTTGCCATGTTCCAGCAAAACCAAAAACACAACACAGATTGTTTGGTGAATGGCTTGACAGTGGCTCCAGGCCCAGTGATGACCAGGGTGTTGATAAATCACACAATTCCATTAGCAATGCAACACGCAATACCTCAAATGTCATATGTTTTGCAGAAGAAGATTGAATGTGCCACCTTGCAAAAAAACAAAGCAAGCAGCCTTGCATGTAATGTCTAACCTGTTTGAATTGCATACTTTTTGCTTTTGCTACTGCCATGTGTGAAAGAGAAGCTAAACTGCAGAGACTTAATGTGCTGAGAAAAGCTGTCCCCTCTTGCAGCAAAAGTTCTTTGGCAGCAATACTGGACCATATTGCTGAGCACGGGCTGCCAGAACTCAATAATCGCAAGCAAATGAGAGAAGCAGCTGAGCAACAGCTCAAAGCTTCAGCAACCTATGGGCCTGCTATTTTTCACAAAAACTTTCTGAAGAGCGATGGAGGTACTGTCTCTCTCCCCATGGTGAATTTTTACACTGCATTGAGTGCTGGATGCAAAGTGAAAGGTAGTTTTTCCCAGTGTTTGCTTTCATCCTTGGCTGGTAAACCTACTGGAGTAGACACTCCTGGGAACCTGATTCTTTACAGTGATGAATGCCTCCCTGCCAATGCTTTGGGGAGAGCTGCAAAGAAGGTTTGGGTTGTCTATGCTGCTTTCAAGGAATTTGGTCGGCAAGCTTTGAGCCATACTCAGCATTGGCTGGTTTTGGGCATTGTCAGGAGCTCCATTGTGGCCACCTTGGAAGGTCACATGGGTCAAGTGATGAAGGTTCTTTTGGAACACATATTTAGCAACAATGTAGCTTCACCTTTGGTAGGTGTTCTTCTACATGGTCCTGGCGGTGAACTCATCAGATTGCATTTTCAAATTGGCTTCTTTGTGCAGGATGGTGCTTCTCAGTCACTTTTGGACTCAAGGGTGATTCAGGCAGCAATTATTGCTTGAAATGTTGTGATCAAATTGTGTTCCTTTTAGAAGCTGAGGAGGATGAGGAGAAGGCAGTGCTCAAGACCATTTGCAAAAAGGACATGGTTTTAACAGCTGATGAAGAAGCTTTTTGAAGAGCTTTGACCGCCTCAGTGCCAAGAAGGGTGTTTGCACCCCTCAAGAGTTTCAGCAGTGGGAGCAATGCACTGGTTGGACTTTTTCACATGAAGGTATTTTGGCTTCCCCATGCTTGAGAAATTGGCTGCAACCATGTTCGCAATATGTTCATGACTACATGCATGGCACGTCTTCCAATGGCTGCTTGAACATTGGTATGTTTTTGGTTCTGGAGCATTTGCAATCTGAAGGGCTGCCAGCTTGGAGTGCCATGCAGGACATGATCAGCATGTGGCACTTCCCACAGGCTTTGCACAAGGTAGGTGCTTTATCTTCTTTGTTTACATCTGCCAAAGTGGAATCATACAGGAAAGCTGGGAAATTGAAAGTCACTGCAAGTGAAGTGTTGTGTTTGTATCCAATTTTACAGCACCATGTGCAGATGATTGAAAACAAAGGTGGCAAAAGTGCAGCAACACAAGCTTTTCTCAACCTGTGCCACATGATGGACCTTTTGCTTGCAACTTCTATTGGTGGTGTCAATGGTTTGGTTTTGGACACTGCAGCTGAAAATGTTTTGGCATCTGTTAAACTGGCAAAGTGGGGGAATTTTTACATCAAAAAATTCCACTGGATGCTTCATTATGGTGGCGAGCTGGAAGCCCACGAAATGCTGTTGCCTTGTTGGACAATGGAGAGAAAACACAAGGACATTACTCTGCTAGCTACAAGGGTCCAAAACTTGAAGAACTTTGAAGAAGGCTTGCTGGTTGAAGTGCTATCCCAGCAATTGCACCACATATCCCAATGGCAGAAAGAAGAAGCTTCACTGGAAAAGAAACATCTGGCACCAAAGAAATTGGTAGCTTGGTTGCATGAGTATTTGGGGCTTCGAAGCAATGACATTTTTTCCAGCAAGTGTATTGTCTTGCTTGGCGGAGGTGTTGCCAGTGTCAATGATGTAGTGCTTTTATCCAGTGGTACCAAATGGGAAGCTGGACAAATGCTTTTGAATTTTGCAATTGGTAGAGAGACTTGGTCTTTGTTGAAATGCTTTGTGCTTCAGACCTATGATTCCAAGAGTGGCAAAGCCCTGTGGCATTCCACTGACCAATGGGTGACAGTGCCAGCTGCTCATATATTGGCAGCTGTGATCTATTCACAATGCCAAGCAGGGTATTTAACTTTGATCCCTTACCACCTGCGATGAAAAACAACTTGGAGGAAAAAGGTTTGCAAGCCAACAATGGCTAGTTGGTTTTTCATTGGCAAGCCTTGTGTGGCTAGTGTGTGCAAGCCTTCAATGGCTGGTGTGAGCAAGCCTCCTATGGCTAGTGTGCACAAGCTTGACATAGCTATTAGTTCTGGAACAAGTTGCAGGTGCTGTGCCTGATCACAGCAAAATCAAAAAATAAAATCAAAGCTGCATTGGCAAAAAAAAGAAAATCAAAAAAACACATTTTGTTTTGATGGAAAACATGCAGCCAAAATGATTTTAAAAATTGACACAATGTCCCCATGAACAAATTTCCCTTTCTGCAAAACATACTTTTTTGTATCATATTTCACATTGGAAAAGTATGTAAGTTAAATATATGTTAAATATTTATAAAGACTTAGCAAGTGCTTAGCCAAGTAGGATAAAGCTCATAACCCACTAGCAAGACCACAGCCCATCCAAGCATGTCACAAAATGCCACGCCTGCCACGGAATTTGCACCTTGTCGCCACTTGACGCAGCCCTGCCAATGCGATTTGCAAAAAACACGCGACACGACACGTCTAAAGTGCTGCGCCTGCCACGCAAAATGACGATGGACACGTCCAAAGTGCTGCGCCTGCCACGAAAACTGCCACGCATCTTCGGAAAACGTCGCAAAAGTATTGCGCCTGCCGCACAAAACGACTTCCGACACGTTATAAAACACGTCTGAATGAAATTTCAGGTTGGTCAATTTGATCTTTAATTGATCGCATTTAGAAAACAATTTTTGGGGTCAAGATCCCATTTGAGGGTTCATCTTATCATCTTAATACTAAAAACTGATTGGCTGGGACTGGTCATTACTCGCGTCCATGACATATCGCACGAAAGGTTTGCCAAGTAATTCGCATGAGTGATCGGGCTGCCTTTTGGGTTGGTGGAATCGTGGCGTCTCGAGCCATTTTCTCGATCAATCATGGCCAAAGAGCCGGAGTGCCCACCAAATTGACCTACGGAGTGCCATGCTAGAGGATGTTGCGGTAAGATGGGGGTGCCTACTGTTCATTCCAAACATAGCGTGTGGGTTGGCCCATGTGAAGCTTGGTGGAGGAAAAGTTTGTCCATTTTAGTGCGGGCAAGTCTCACAAAACCATATAGAAAAGCTATGATCGCTACAAGCCCCCAAATAATAATTGCAATGTTCTATAGGTATGGCAAATGTTGCGGTTATTTCCCACAAAAATGTGCGAGAATTGGTTTGCACCAGCTTTCCATCCCCATGAAATTGGGCCATCGCAAGCTGCTGTTTGTTGGAAGGCTAATCACTAATCATTTATTTTGTTGCTTGGCTTGGCCATTGTCGCACGTGAGGATAACTATGTTTCATACACGGCATCAGGCACAAGGCGCCGCAGTCATCATTTCATTTTTTGATTAGTACTTAAGGTTTCGATGTAGTTATCAGGGGAAAGCGTCGCAAGACAATTTTTGGCAATATGTCAAAAAATGACATATAGTAGTTTTAAAGTATGTCTTAATCTGTTTTAAAAAGAACTTTCTGGCACACAACACCTTTCGGTTGATGAATCAATTTGTTTTTCCAATTCTTGTTCAAGGATTTTGCAGGATTGGGAGGTCTAAAATCATATCTATGGGCCTTTGTGAACAAAAATCCACAGAATGAGTTGGGAGATATCATTTCAGAACCGTGTGTAAATCTCAACCGATTCCGAGTAATAAATCAAATTGGTTTCTTCATTGTTGTTCAGAAGGTTGTATAGGAATGGTGGGTCTAAGTTCATATCCAAGGCCCTAGTGAAGATAAATCCACAGAATGAGTTGGGAGATATCATTTCAGAACCGTGTGTAAATCTCAACCGTTTCCAAGTAGTTATTTATTTTTTGATTTTGATTGATTTTGCAGGATTGGGGGGTCTAAAAACATATCTTTGGGCCTTTGTGAAGACAAATCCACGGAATGAGCTGGGAGATATGATTTCAGAACCTTATGCAAAATTCAACCGTTTCGGAGTAATAAATCAAATTGGTTTCTTCATTTTTGTTCAGAAGGTTGTATAGGAATGGTGGGTCTAAGCTCATATCCAAGGCCCTAGTGAAGATAAATCCACAGAATGAGTTGGGAGATATCATTTCAGAACCGTGTGTAAATCTCAACCGTTTCCAAGTAGTTATTTATTTTTACTTAAATCAAATTGGATTCTTCATTTTGGTTCAGAGGATTTTGATGGATTTTGCAGGATTCGGGGGTCTAAAACCATATCTTTGGGCCTTTGTGAAGACAAATCCACGGAATGAGCTGGGAGATATGATTTCAGAACCTTATGCAAAATTCAACCGTTTCGGAGTAATAAATCAAATTGGTTTCTTCATTGTTGTTCAGAAGGTTGTATAGGAATGGTGGGTCTAAGCTCATATCCAAGGCCCTAGTGAAGATAAATCCACAGAATGAGTTGGGAGATATCATGTCAGAACCGTGTGTAAATCTCAACCGTTTCCGAGAAGTAGTTAATTTTAGTCAAATCGAATTGGGTTCTTCATTTTGGTTCAGAGGATTTTGCAGGATTGGCGGGTCTAAAATCATATCTATGGGCCTTTGTGAAGACAAATCCACGGAATGAGCTGGGAGATATGATTTCAGAACCTTATGCAAAATTCAACCGTTTGCGAGTAATAAATCAAATTGGTTTCTTCATTGTTGTTCAGAAGGTTGTATAGGAATGGTGGGTCTAAGCTCATATCCAAGGCCCTAGTGAAGATAAATCCACAGAATGAGTTGGGAGATATCATTTCAGAACCGTGTGTAAATCTCAACCGTTTCCAAGTAGTTATTTATTTTTACTTAAATCAAATTGGATTCTTCATTTTGGTTCAGAGGATTTTGATGGATTTTGCAGGATTGGGGGGTCTAAAATCATATCTATGGGCCTTTGTGAAGACAAATGCACAGAATGAGCTGGGAGATGTGATTTCAGAACCTTATGCAAAATTCAACCGTTTCGGAGTAATAAATCAAATTGGTTTTGTCATTTTTGTTCAGAAGGTTGTATAGGAATGGTGGGTCTAAGTTCATATCCAAGGCCCTAGTGAAGATAAATCCACAGAATGAGTTGGGAGATATCATTTCAGGACCTCTTGTTGCATTGGTGATTGGTACCTGGCATCCTTTTTTTTTGATCTGTGTTTATGCACTTTGCATGTTTTGGTTCAGGAGGTTGCGCAGCCAAAGCGATAATTTCATATCCATGGTCCATGGCCCATGTGAACATAAACCTTCTTACACCTAAAAACGACACTTTATCTTTTGGCGAACCATGTTCGGAAAAAAATAAAAGTGCCACAAATACCCGTAGAATCCCGTAGAGTGCTATAAACACACGTAGAAATCCTACTCCTAAAATGGTACGCTTTCCAATGACCAAAATTCCGGGCACTTTGGACAGTGCCCAAAACGATGGGCACCAGGCTTTCCAGTTACCTACTTCCATATGATCCATAAATATCTGAAGTGGGCGGAAGTAGCAAATTACAACATAAAAAAAACAACTCTAGGAACCAAAACCTCCAAGGGTCTACAATGGGGGGGGTCAGAGTTCTAAAATCGAACCGCATACCCATTCTAGACGCTTCGTACTTGAGGGTATTGAATTTGGTGACACAGTTCTCTATATGTTGCCAACGGCAAAACAAATGCCAAAGATGGAAGCCAGATTCTTCCCAGCAATTTGGCTTGGAAAAGAAACATCAACAAACGAGAACATCTTGGGCATCTCCGACAAGGTGAAAAGGTCAAGGGCCATGAGAAGACTGGTCAAGCCTGAAAAGTACAACAACAAACAACTCCTGGATGTCATCAACAACACACCAGTGACAACTCCGACAGCATCAAGCTTTATCATGCTACCAACAGCAAAGATAGTGGCCACACCAAAGACAACAACAGAGACACAGACACCTTCACAACAGGAGGAAGCACTTCCCACAACGACAGCGCAGCCATCAACACACACAAGACATCAGCCAGCCTTTGCAGATGCGCCAATGGCAACAGCACCATCAACACAAAGGGCAAGAGCACCATTGCTATTGCCAATGCCAACATCAAAGCGCGATGTGGCAGATGACGTCGCAGAAGGCAGCGCGTCCAAGCAGCAAAGGACGTCAACATAACAAACAGCACCGGCAAGACCCGAGACAACACAGGAACCACCAACAACGAGGACAAGGATTACAGCAGTGACTGTGACAACGAAGAAAGGACAAGAGATTAAAGTTCTGTCCAACAAAGACGAACAAGAAGCAACAACAGAGAAGATCCTACTGGAACCACGGGTCAAGAACACAGAAGGATTGAACAGAGAACAATCAAATGAAAGAATGAAACAAGAGATAACGTCAATGAAAGCACAACAAGTGTACACAGAGGTTTCCTTCAGCAACTTGACAAAAGCACACCAAAGCACGGTTATCAAGTCAAGATGGGTCCCAGGACAAAACGGCGACAGTGTCAGAGCAAGAACAGCGGCAAAAGGATACAGAGAAGAAGCCAACGACAACGGCGAAATCTATTCGTCAACACCAATCTTCTGTGTCCTACGCCTGCTATCAACACCGGCACTCACCTTCAACTGGATCGTAAGAACAGGCGACATCTCAACAGCCTTTCTGCATGCCAAAGCAGCACAAGGAGACTTGTTCCTGTTTCCACCAACAGAGTTCTACAACCCTGAGGACCAAATAGTGTGGAAGCTCAACAAAGCCATCTACGGACTACGAAGCAGTCCAAAAGCTTGGCAAAATCACCTGGCAGAAACACTTCAACAACTTGGGATGCAACGGCTAGCAAGCGAGCCCAACGTCTTCAAGACAGCAACAGGCAACGCGGCAACGCCTTCATCCTCGTGTATGTGGATGACCTCCTATTCTTGGGAGAGCCAACAGTTGTCAACAAGCTTTTTGCAGACATACAGCAACAACTGCTACTGCGACCAACAGGTGACCTTACAGTAGGAAACAATGTCAACTTCCTTGGAAGGAATATCTCCAACAAGCGAGATTACTACGAGATCAGCCTGGCAACCACATACCCAACAGAACTGTTGAAGGAAGCAGACATGCTCAACTGCAATGCGTCACCAGCACCTGGAACAAAGACAACATCGACAGATGTTGATCAACCACTTACAACAGAGGAGCACAAAGCATACAGAAGAGCTGTGGGCAAGCTACAGTGGATGACATACACACGACCAGACATCAGCTATGCAACAAAGGAACTGGCAAGATCCATGACACAGCCAACGACACTTGACCAACAGAAGCTCAAGCATTTGCTCAGGTACATCAAAGGAACACAGCACTACAGGTTGTACGTGCGACCAGCTGTCCGAGCAATGGATACACAACACCAGACCTCGACCTCTTCGTGGTCTCCGATAGGGCAGGATGCGCAGCAACCAGGAAGTCAACACCGGGTTTCGTCATCAAGTTCATCGGATCAACAATCCATGTCCGCAGCCGCAGGCATGCAACACTTGCCCTCAGCAGCGCAGAGGCAGAACTATACGCCATCAACACAGGAGCAACAGAATCACTCCACATCAGAAACATCCCACAAGAAGCGCTCAACATCAAGAAGGTGAACATCAGGATTCACACGGACTCTTTGAGCGGGAAGAGTAACAAGGATTGGATCCTCAAAGAAAGCAAAGCACATCGAGCTCAAACACCTTTTCACCCAACAATTGGTGCAGCACGATCTTGTGAGGATCATCAAGATCAACACAGCGAACAAGACCGCGGACATCTCACCAAGTACGTGGCCACCGAGACGCTCTTGAGGCACCTCAACGATGCTGGGCTCATAACACAGCATTACTAGCAACAGCAGCAACCAGCAAGAGTTTCACCGCAGCATGCGCGCAAGCGTGCGCCCGCGTGTACACGTGCAAACAACGTGCGCAGCGTACACACACACAGGCACACATCTTGTAAGCCATGGCGTTGACGATGATCAACAACGTCTACTATGAAATGAAGGTACGAACATGACTGTCGTAGACAAGATGTCCTTTGAGTTTTCGAATCCAGCAGCTGATTTGCACTCGGTCAACGTTTTGTTGACAACAGCCACGTGTGATTTTGACTGCAGCCTTTTTTGGGAAACCCTGAGACTGACAACATGGAGGTGATCAACATCGCTCAGACTGGAGGACCAACAGTTGTCCATTCCAAAATGGCGACATGGTGGGCTATATTCACCCAGGAAGAGTACAACAGCATGATACCAGAAGGAGGCAGCAGGCTCCCTTCAATTCCAGGGGAAACACGCATGCCTCGCTTTGAAAAGGTCGTTGGTCAACACCAGTCCAACTGTCAACACATCGACAGTACACTGGTATGGCTCGAAGACCAATGAATGCCCAGGTGGATCTCCCAACATCACCCAATGGACCGGCAACAGCCTTGACCACAATGAGTATGTGGCAGAGGTCAACACCTGGCGCAACAACGCCAATAGTCGCATGGAGGAGACTGAGATGGAAGATGTTGAAGATGAGCGCAACAGGGACTCCAACATGTGAGTCCAACGCAGCCTCTACTTCAATAAATGATGCGCAATCAGCAACACGTGCGGCTAACGACAGATGTAAAACTATATGAAATCAGATTGTACAGAAGTGATTTGCAACATGGATGCAAAATGTCTCACAACAGATAATACGTTTTAGTTCCACCTGTGAATAGTAGATTCTTGTACCAGCGTGATGAACACACGGTTCAACAAGCTGAGGGGCCGTGTTAAGTACCACACACCCTTGCGTGTACAACAGTTATGGTACTGAAAATTTGGCCATGTCAACATGGCATTCTGGTTCAGCAGGCCTTGAGCCTGGAGTGACACCAGGTCCGAGCCCAACAGACAAAAGGCGCGCACTGCAACAGCAGAGACAACAGGCTGCCTTGAATCTTTTCATTATACACGCACATACACACATATATTATATGTATATATATATATATTTTTTTTCTCAGTTTGGATAGAAGCACATCTTGGGACATGCCAAGATATCCGGGTCTCAAAGCAAGACAAGGAAATACAACCTTTCTTTCCATGAAACATGAAATGCTTTTTGTGAAGCTTTTGATTGTCAACCCCATCTTAGCACATGCCATAAACAACGTCATAAACACATACAAGATATCCGTGACGCGGTTCTTGGCTTCGCCATGCTTAGCTTCAGGCTATCCCAGTGAAAGATACGCGAATACAGTTTAACCGCCATGCCTGTCCCTGTTGGTCTAGACAGGAAACAAACAGTGTAAGTTGTAAACGTTGACGCGAGTTCCCGCCTGTTACATGCATCAGGGCCGCTTTGCATCTACTGAGTCAAACCAAGCAGCAAAACTCAGCACAACATCTAAGGTCCTCTTGGCTTTGTGTGCCGAGCTTCTGGCTCCGATGGTTTGAACTTCAGCAGTTCTGGTTTGATCGGTCTCTCTGCCGGGAAAGGATCCTGGGACGCAATCAGCGAGACAAAATCTGCAGAGTACCTGCCAGAGTGCCGGGGCTTCCATCAAATGAGGGATTCCATCACCTTTCTGGGCACCGCATGTTGCACCTCTCTTCGGCCTTATGCTGTAATGATATTTGGGAAAACTAAGGCCAAAATAGCAATTTGGATAATTTCTTCCCCACTCCTATGAAGCTACGTATGTGAAGACTCGTTGGAGCCATTGAAGTCAAGATCCTTTTTCACGCACTGCTTCCTTCAGATTTTCTTCAAAATCAAATGTTCAATTATTAATTGTCTCACCCCTATTCATATCCAACTGTTTCTCTCTTTGAAAAGCTCTTGTCTTGTCCGCTCCCCGTCCCTCGCCTAGAAATGGGTGCAGGTGAGTAGAGATGTGGCAAGGACACTTCGAGCTCCACTGTAACTTCTTCCCAGCCTTCATCCAAGGCTTCTCGGGTATCCTCAGCGTCAGCATCTCGAACAATTCCAATGAGGCCATAAGGCCCATCAGGACTTTCACTGCCCAACAGTTGTGCTCCACATCGCTGCAAGGCGTATTCCAACTTAGAAGAGAAAGTTTGAATTTCGGTGTCGGCGATGAGGACCACAGTTTCGGGGGCCAAATCGTTAAGATAATCTGCTGCGCTGTCTGCTTGTGCGCTGTTTGTGATATTGCCAAAATTCTGGTAGTCTTCAAAGCGGTGCGTCAAGCGGCTCAGAACCAGCACATGTAGTTCAGAGCCTGGGCGGAGGCATGCGCTCACACACACACACAAAGTCCAAGTACTTTCATGGGGAAAACACGGACAAGTCCGGATGCGAGGATGGTTGACAAACATGGATTACAACCTGTGATTGAACAGGGGTTGACTATATTCATGACTTCATATCAGGACTTGACATGACATGACATAATATCATGCGGCGCTGGAGGCCTGACAAGCGGGAGTTGTTCCAAAGATCACCATCGAGGATGAAGGAGACTTCGGAGAGTGGCGTATTGTCACTCTCTTTTACGGACTTGACCTCTACTCGTCTGACTTCATTTGGAGTACCTGTGTTGGCTGTGGGTGCACCATCTTGTGGCTGATAGGCAATGCTTGCTATGCCTGCTGTTTGATCTTCGACAGAGACAGCTTTGCAGCAGTCGTAAACAATGGCTAATTCGTTAGCATCGTTGAAATTGAACGTGACGGATTGGAGCACATTGGACCTGCAGTCAACTGCAAAATCTGCCTCAGTAAGCACAAACTGCCATGGTTGCAATGCACCGTCGTACGTCTTGGTAGGGGTTGTGAAGGAGAAGCAAGTGTCTTCTTCACTATTGTTGATGCCAATGACTTCGCAGCAAGTATAGTCCACCTTCGCGCCACAAACAGGTCTACAGGCCTACAGCCTGTCTACAGGCTTGTTGGCATCTGTTGTTCCGTTTATACTTTATATCTTTGTATAGCATGGTATTGGTCAGGCTTAGCACTCTATTCGTTCTCTTCTTCTCCTAGAGCGCCTTTTATGGAGTCACAAAAACATGCGAAGGCAACAGTTCAACAGTGAAACCCAACAACAAACAGAAAGAAAAGCAAACAGAAAGAAACAGTGCCGAATTCCTTCTTGGGGGTCTGGGCCTTGAACCACTCACGAGACGGATCAGAGGTGTCTGGTATCAGCGTGAAGTCGGTCACCACTTGGAGCCCAGAACACGAGATGTTGTCGCTACCAGTCACAGTGCTGCAGGTGTCCGACAGCTCCACCCATCGGCAGCTATTCACAACACCTCGGCGCATAGTCAAAATTCATCAACTCTGGCCTAAACATGCAATAAACATAATCAAAGGAAGCTTCATTGAGGAAACACCGAGTTACGGACGGTTTTATTCTCACTAGTCCAAAGATCATTGTGTCCAGGTGGCACCTGCGTCAAGAGATCATTATTATAAGTCACAGTCTCACTAGCACAAAGACCATTGTGTCCAGTGGGCACCTGCGTGAAATAGACAAGAGGTAGACTTGGCGTTGTTAATTCATATGTCCATATGCTGTTTTGGGGTTTTTGAAGTTTTTTCTATTCTCTGCGCGATGTTTTGCGTGGCAGGCACAGCGCTTCTGTCTAAGTACTACTTGGCTCAAGTATGTCATGTGCTTGACTCTGGTTGCTGGCTGACCTAAGAATTGCAATGGAAAAGGGTATCTAGATTTTATGACCAAGATGGCTCAAGTTCTCAGGCTCAAGTTTAAATACCAACAGCGAGAGTGTCAAAAGAAAAAATGGGTGGTTTGGTGCGGGAATTATATATAGGCTCAAGTCTTAAAGACCGACCATAACAGCGAGAGCGTAAAAAAATGGGTGGTTGTTTGGTGTGGTAATTGCTCAAGTCTTAAAGACCGACCATGACCAACCGAAAAAGGGGAAACTGGTGGTAAAGGTGGGCAACTGGTGGAGCTGTGGGCAGGATGACTGGATGACTGGACGCTATGGGTTGTGCCACCCAAACATTATGAGGTTTTAAATTTAACCAGTGTGGGGGAGGTAAATTTGGGGATGAATAATGATGATACTTGAACATGATTCAATTTAGTTTGATTTAACCCGTTTCACTAACATGTGATAACCATCACCATAACAAAAATAAAGAATATTAATAAAAATAAGCAGTAAACAACAATAAAAAGTGATAATAATAAATAATAATAACAATAATAATGATAGTAATGATAGTAATGATAGTAATACTAAAAAAAATCAATGAACAACAACTAACAACAACACGGAACCATGAACCATGAACATTTTTTCAGTGATGGTGGTCTTACCCCTCATTTTTTTCATATTTTTCATTTTTTGAGGAGAAGGTCTTACCCTTCGTCGTTTCATTTGTCAATCCTCTGGTCTTCACCAGGTGGAGAAGCACTCCTGGTTCTTACAGTGCCACATCAATGAACAACAACAATAATATTATTAAACAACAACACTGAACCATGAACATTTTTTCAGTGATGGTGGTCTTACCCCTCACTTTTTTCCATATTCATTTGTTGAGAAGAAGGTCTTACCCTTCTTCGTTTCATTTGTCAATCCTCTGGTCTTCAACAGAGGTATCCTGGATTTCACCGGGGGGGGCAGGGCGTGCCCAAAAATCACCGCACGATGCTGGGAGATAGTTTCAGTGGGACAGCTGCTGGTTAGATAGTTTCAGTGGGGGATGTTGGGCTTAACGCTCACCATTTTTGATCGAAAAATCCATGATTTTTAGTGTTTTTTCCATTAATTTGGTGGTTCTTTGCCCTTGGCTTTGTGCCATCAATTCAGTGAACCCGCTCTCTTTAGGGTTTAGGGTTTAGGGGTCTTCTTCAGATTTTTATGGGCCCATGTTATGACTCACAGCTGCTGGTTGGATAGTTTCAGTGGGAGATGCTGGGCTTAACGCTTACCATTTTGATCGAAAAATCCATCAGCCACAAAGGGCAGAGAGAATTTGGATGAAGCCCTAAGGCAACATCAGCCGCAAAGGGCAGAGAGAGATTGGATGAAGCCCTAAGGCAACATCAGCCGCAAGGCAGAAGATCCCCTTCCCTTCCTAAAGACGTAACCCCCCCTTCCGAACAAGAACCCCTGACACCCCCAACCTGCCAAAGAAGGACCAACCCTGCCGCCTTAAAGAGATCCCCCCCACCTTCTGAAGAAGCATCCCCCCTGTACCCCCCTTAAGAAGATGTTCCCCCCACCCAAAGAAGACCCCCCTCCCCCTTGAGAAGATCCCACCCACCTTTCTCAGAAGACCCCCCCCCTTAAGAAGATCCCCCCCACCAAAGAAGACCCCCTCCCCGCCCTTGAGAAGATACCCCCCCCTCTCTAAAAGAAGGACACCCCCCCTTCCCCCCTTAAGAAGATCCCCCCCGCCCAAAGAAGACCGCCCCTCCCCCCCTTGAGCATTGTTTAGGCACTGGTTACAACTGGTTATAACTGGTTATAGCTGGTTGTAGCTGGTTATAGCTGGTTAAAACTGGTTATAGCTGGTTAGAACTGGTTGTAACTGGTTATAACTATAACTGGTTATAGCTGGTTAAAACTGGCTATAACTGGTTATAGCTGGTTATAACTGGTTGTAACTGGTCACAACTGGTTATAACTGGTTATAAGTGGTTAAAACTGGTTATAGCTGTATATAACTGGTTATAACTGGTTATAACGGGTTATAGCTGGTTATAGCTGGTTATAACTGGTTATAGCTGGTTATAACTGGTTAAAATTGGTTATAGCTGGTTATAACTGGTTATAGCTGGTTTCTGCTGGTTATAGCTGGTTATAACTGGTTATAACTGATTAGAACTGGTTATAACTGATTGTCACTGGGGCCGGTCACAAGGGCCGGTCACAAGGGAGGCACTGGAGACAGTTAGAAAGCACTGGTCTGGGGCCAGATACATGGCTCTGGGGCCATTTTACAAGGGCACTGGGGCCAAGTACATGACACTGGGGCCACTTACAATGGCACCAGGGCACTGGAGTTGTTGATGCACTGAGGCCACTGGGGCACTGGAGCTGTTTAGGCACTGGGGCCACTGGGGCACTGGAGCTGTCTAGGCACTGGTTATAGCTGGTTATACCTGGTTATAACGGGTTACAACTGGTTATAATTGGTTATAGCTGGTTATAACTGGTTGTAACTGGTTATAGCTGGTTATAACTGGTTATAACTGGTTATAGCTGGTTAGAACTGGTTATAACTGGTTATAACTGGTTATAACTGGTTATAACTGGTTATAACTGGTTATAACTGATTATAACTGGTTATAACTGGTTATAACTGATTAGAACTGGTTATAACTGTCTATAGCTGGTTATAACTGGTTATAACTGGTTGTGACCAGTTATCACTGGTTATAACTGGTTATAACTGGTTAAAACTGGTTATAACTGGTTAAAACTGGTTATAGCTGGTTATAACTGGTTATAGCTGGTTAAAACTGGTTATAACTGGTTATAATTGGTTATAAGAAGACCCCGGCCCCTTGAGAAGATCCCCCCCCAAAGAAGACTCCCCCCTCCCCCCTGGAGAAGATCCCCCCAAGAAGACTGGCTCAATCAAATACAAGGCATAGCCGATGCTTACTGGGGTTGTAGTAGCATCGTCTCGGGGATCAGATTGATGCCAAGCTGAATGCCGAAACTCAATATTGACCAAGCCCTTCATCTTCTGTCGCCAGCATCCTTGCAAAAACATTATGGCCTTTGCAAGAAAAAAACATGTTCTTTGTGTTTCTGGGGGCAGAAGGGCCCCGATTGTCAAAAAACAACTTTGTTTCCTGCGGGCAGTCAAAAAAAGAAACCCTGGTTGGCATGCGCCCGTATGCAGACTTCAGCTGACAAGAAATGGAAAGTTCGTTTGGGTTGTGTGCTTTGCTGTCATTTCCGCAATTCATCAAAAATATCAGTATCGCCCGATGGTGTTACCTCGACGACAGCAGAACAATCAAGCAAGCAGACAAGAGTGACAAGTCCATCCAAGCGTCTGCAGTCCATCTCATGGGGTTCTTTTCAAATTCCAGTGATGTTTTTTAAAAAAAGGAGGACGCACAGTCTGCAGCAACATGCAAAAACCACTGTCATCAACGAGCGTTGATGCATTCTGTCATGATGGCTGAGGTGGGGTAAAAGGGCGCGAGACTGCTTCCATGTTTTTTATTATTCTTTGCAGAAGTTCAGTCAAACGGTTTTCAACATGGTAACTACAACCAAAAAACGAAAATTGAGCGACGTTAATTGATATGCTCAATTTATGGCTCCCTTACGCATTCTCAGCCCGGGCGGGGCCGCGTAAGAGGGTAAAAGTTCAGTCAAAAGGTTTTCCACATGGTAACTACAACAAAAAAAATCGAAAATTGAGCGACGTTAATTTGATATGCTCAATTTATGGCTCCCTTACGCATTCTCAGCCCGGGCCGGGGCCGCGTAAGAGCGTTGAACGCGTAAGGGAGCCATAAATTTATGGCTCCCTGACGCATTGCCAGCCCGGGCCGAGGGCGCGTAAGGGAGCCATAAATTTATGGCTCCCTTACGCATTGAGCGTTGTTACCGCTGTACCCTAGTCACATGTTTTCGTCCCGGTCCTGGTCTGGTCAGTTAGGCGATTTCTGATTCTGTTGATTTTGGCTTAAGATTCCACATTCTGTTGCTTCAGTCTTAGACGTTCACGGCAATGGTATTTAGAGCAAAGGTTTCTCGGAGATTGCGCAGACAGAATTGGAGACAGAGAACCCTGAAGGAGAGGAGGCTGACAGCGCCATCAGCCAGATGCGCCGGCCTGCACCTGAGTTTGTCGAGAACAGTCAGGAATGATTATTGGAATAGCCTGGCGAGTCATAACATGGATGGTCCACTGAATTGATGGCACAAAGCCAAGGGCAAAGAACCACCAAATTGATGGAAAAAACACTAAAAATCATGGATTTTTCGATCAAAAATGGTGAGCGTTAAGCCCAACATCTCCCACTGAAACTATCATGTGCACACTGCATACATGGGTGTCATTAGACCACTTGTACTTTTTTGAGTCTTTCTTCAGATTTGTTTTGATCATGCCGATAAAAAAAAGGAACGTTACGGGTGTTGGGGGTACCACCGAAGCTTATTTTTTGGTGGTTGCGACCTTTGCAAAACTTGTGGTCTCAACGATTCCCCCCCTTTCAAAATTGATTTGGTGTCCATCAACCTTTTTATACAATCCATTTCCCCCCGTCCAAAATTAAAATGGTGTGTATCAACTATTTGTTGATTTCACTTTTCCCTTCCGCCAAAATCACCCCAAAATTCCTTTTTCTGGGACCTGACAGTTTCAGATTTTCAAGATACTGAAGAGACGCCGGAGACTTATGAAGTTATAACATAAGTTATAATTAAGTTATCTTGAGTGGTTCCTAAGTCCTCTTGTAACTTTTATAACTTTTCGAGTGTTTTTTTTTTGCATTTTAGTGATGATGATAATTTAAGGGATTTTATGATGTTTTAAAGTAACTGTGTGCGTGCAATTTGGAGGGGGAGACACGTCCTGCGCAGTTCTTTTTGTCATCCCAGCAGTAGGCAAATGTCGGTTTGGGCGTCTTTGCGCGTGACACGTTTCAGCACGGCTTCTTCGCATTTCTCTAACATGTTCATGGGAAGTAAAGACATATTTGGGTTTGTATGAGGATAGTTCCAGCAAGAAAAACCCGTTGCAATGTTCTGTCGACACGTCATCTCTTGGCATAGGAGGAAAAAAACATTTTCTTTTTGAAGAGCGCCCAAAATCTTGAGAGCACCGCCATTTGGAAGCAGCTTGTATTGGCCCTGTCCATGGCATCGACCTGCGTGGAGCATTTTCTTGCTCATTTCCCATTTGCCAGAACCAAAGGGTTGAGACAACGGAGGAGCCAACCGGACAGGATTCAGTAGCTGCGTGGACAGGGATTTATCGACCTCGCAGGTCTTGCAATCCATTTCTCCTAATTCCATCAAAACTGACTTTGCAAAATGTGATAAGGCTTTGCATCTCGGAGCAACATTTTGTTTGAAGTATATATGTTTGCGCTCTCCTGGGAACGCATCCACAGCTTTCTGTTGCTTTCGAAATTGTTGGGGAAGATGAAGGGAAAAATGGAGTTTGGGTCTGACAGTATCCGGTCCATACGTAGAGACAAACAGTGCCACATGTTTTTTCTGCAATTCTTCCATTCTGGTTGCTTCAACAACCGCATTCCCATACTTGGCACGCAGCCAAGAAAGAAGCACTGCATACAATGCCGACAAACTTTCTACTTCATTCCGCAACTCCGGAAAGAGAGGCAGCACGATTTCATAGGAAAAGGCCACACAAATCGGCATAACTAAGAGCGTTTCCGATGCATCGCCTCGGTAATCTCTTTCCATCACCCAGAGTTTCGCAGCAAACAATTTGTCCATCTGACATGCGTTCGGAACGCACGGCTGCCAACACGATTTGGCATATGTGCGTAAGTGACCGTGCGTCACGGTACTCTTACGCAAAAGTTCGGTGTACCACAGGCCCAGCTCTTGCCCCGCGATGCCATTGGAAGCGAAGCAATGCATCGGATCAAAAAAGATGCGATCCAAGCTGAGAATTTCATCCAAGTTCGGATTTAGAATGGCACTGCTTCTCAGAGCGCTCGCATTCCATCCCAAGTGCGTCTCAGCTTTTTCTTTTGCAGTTTTAGCAGCAATACCTTGCAAATACTCCGATATGCTCTGCAAACTGGTTCTGCCATGGCTCTCCCACTTTTCCGTTCGCACGGAACTGATGTGTTCATGATGGCTCAAGTGTAGGTGACCACCTGAGACAATGTTTGTGCATTTGAAACATGGTTTCAATCCCGCAGCTCCTTTGGAGCCAGTCAGGAGTCTCAAGCCATCTGCGTCAGCCAAGATGGCAATTTGTCTCAGGTGTACCAGCACCGCGCGGGTGCCAAGATCGATCATGAAGCCATCTTTTGTCTCCTTTCGAATTTCCTCCAGTATCATGGATATACTCCGTGTGACCCCGTCCGCCATTTGCTGTAGGTCCTGTGATCGACAGACCGACAAAGTTATCCAAGATGTGTCTGACCACAGAACTGGAAAATCTGGAAAGCAGACATACGTCATGGCAGCTTTGCGACGCAAATCTGGAGCCAGGATATTGCCTGGAACTGCCTCATCCCAATACACAAGCAACTCCAGTGACGGGCCTCTAGTCTCCAATGCAGCTTCGAAGCATTCCCGAAAAAAGGGACACGCATCGATTTTCTTTTGGGTGATCTCCGACAGCGAAAACATGTACAGCGGAATGCTTCTATCTTCATCCCGTAGAGACACTTGCCTGATAGCTCCTGATGCAAATGGGTATAGATGTTTTTCTCGTGTTGCAGCACGGCCTCCGGTTTTCTCCTCACCTCTGTTCAGCAATGTCATGACTTCGCGACATTGCGCATGCGACAAGGTTTTGATCTGCCGCAGGCTTTGAAATTGATCCATCAAGGGATCTGCTGCTGCCAGTTTTCGTTTCGACATGGCAAGAGTCAAAGGCAACAGTGAGTATCAAATGCTCTCTTTGAATTCTATCGGTTACACCTACTGTGCTAGCATCCATTACGTTGTCTTGGGTTCAAAGACAAAGTAACATGCTCATACACTATAACTAAATGCTCACATACCATACGCATTTTTTATTGCGTGGTTACACAGGACCTGAAACTCATACGCTTTTCAGCTACTTCAGAGCCACACAACAAACATGGCTGACTCATGTCGTTCCAGCCGGTATGTTCACACACCGACATAATGAGAAGCACCCAGATACCCCAGGACACATGTGCGTGGCAGGATACCGACCAAATGCCTGCACGGAGAACGGAGAAAGGAGGGACAAAACAAAAACAACGAGTCTATTCTTATGTTCCATGTGAATATAGGAAGGCTTCCTCACGCACGGGGCATTTATTCGACCACCGAGACAGAGAGAGAGAAAAAAATATATATATATGCATTCATATACATATATGTATCTATATATATATATATAGATATGGACATATGTTTCCATGCGAGTGGGTTCTCTTTGCAACATATGCAGACATCATCATGCGGCATCTCTTATGATGCGTATATTATGTATAGAATCGACATGTTTATCTGCTTTATATCTTTCTACGCTCTATCTTGTATATATATATATCTTCTTTAGACCTAGTCTAAATAAATATATATATATATGAATCATTCTATATATATATATACATGAATTGCATGCTACATATGTATGTGTTATTGGAACCGGTGCTGATATATTTATATATATATATATAGATAGGCTTTAAATACCAGTTTGTTTTTTACATATAAACGGATAAACAACCAAGCTGGCATGATCCTTGTTTAAATAAGACAATCATATATTTATATAGAGGTAACAAAACCGCGACTGGCCAAATGCATGGTATCTGTTGAGGCATGACTGTTGCTCATGTTGACTTCTGTTCTATTCGGAAAAAAGGAGACTGCTCGCGCGGTCGTTTTCTTTTGCTCCGACAGCACAGTGTTTGGTCCCCTACCGTGCTATATGGAATCGACACACATCGAGACAAAAGTTGTGCAGCAAACGTCGTCCATGGCAATCCAGTGTGGATTCACACAGTTGCCTGTCGGACATACCCATGCACTGCTAGCTGGCCGACTTCATGCGGCGTCGCTTTGCGACGGGCTCTACCGTACTGGTGTCATCACCTCGCGCTGGTACTTCCCCTGGAGAGGCATCATTCGTCTCTGCTGCAGCGACTGCACCAGTCTCTGCCACGGCTACCGCAGCAGCCTTCGGACATGCCTTCGGCTTTGCTTTGCCCTTCGCTGCTTTGGCTGGGATCAGAGCGCGCAAGGACTTGCAAATTTCGACCGACTGTTGCACAGCCGTCTTCAAGTCTGCGGGCCCAAAGGGCAAGTCAGCGAGACGCTGCACGTCTTCTTCCGCAAGCTGCTTCGCAGACTCGTGCATGTTCACAGCTGCACGTGCTGCTTCTGACCAGTTGCGAAATTTTTCTGTGGCTTGCTGTGCTGACTCTGCAATGCCTGTTGGCACCGTGACACCTGCCTTTGCAACTTTCTCCTGCAAGGTGGCCAAGCTCGTCCAATTCTGTGAAATGGGACCCATAGCCTTTGCCGCGCGATTGGCCAGAGAGGCATTGATCTGCAACACCTTCTTCTGCGATTTCTCCGCTTTCTTCTTGTCTACCTCTTCTCCGGTACCAGTGGCGCATGGCAGCGCCATTTCGTCGTCACTGGAATGAGGTTCGTCCGCATTCGGACCCTGCTTCTTCTTCTTTTTCTTTCCTTGGCGGGCAGCGGTGGCATCTGCTTCGTGCTGCAGCACCTCGCTTTCCACTGTCTGGTACTCTTCGGACCAAGTCTTTTCCGTAACATCCACGACATAAAGCTGGCAGTGGTGCTTGTCCGACCAAAAATTCCGACTGGCCAGTACGGTCTCTTTCGGCCAGCCCTTGGTCATCCACACTTCGAGTGGTAGTTCTTTGCCAGTCAGCTTCGACTTGAACGAGGAAACCCGACGCTGTGTCAGCGCACTAACCAACATCGCGCGCAGCGACGTCCACTGCAACCGACTATTGGGAGCCTCTGCTTTCTTCCGGCGCACATCCCGAAAAAACTTGCAAGACTCTTCTCCGCTGAAGCTGTCTAAGTTGCTTCCTTTGCTGCCAAGGTTGTGTCGAAGAACGCGATCAGCAGACGAACATGTCGTGCAATGGAAAACACGACCATGTTGCCGCCCGTCCTTTAGGAGATACTGCAAGTTGCAAAACTTGCAAGTTCTGGTCTCCTCTGACGGCTCCATGGCTGGTGGCGCTGGAACGACCCGGTTTTTTTTTTCCACCACAAGCAACGCGGAGCAAAAAATGGCTCGACCAAACACCATTCAAGTTCAGGAGACAGGTGCACGGAGAAAAACAGGCCACACGAAACAATGCAGCATGAAGACTAAGGTGCAGAATGGTTATATTGATTTGTTTTTGCATACTTCTGTTGTCTTCGAACAATGGAGGAACCAAGAGAGAAAAACAGGGCGACAACTTGTTCTGAACCGAATAGCGTCCCTCTATTCTATATCGTTTTGCAAAATGTTTCATGCAGCGACCCTCCAAAAAGTCATGTGTGCATCCCTCCCGCGGATAACCGCGGATAATCCCGTTCCCAAATCCGCGGATAACTTTTCCCGCCAAGCTTTAGATTATAATTAAATCCGCGGATAACTCCGGCTACCGTAAAAAGCCGCGGATAACTGCGGAGAACCGCGGATAAACTCACGCACCATCACAATACTGCGGAACCCCTGCCAAACGTAACATTTCCACCGTGCCTCCTACAATGGCCAAAGCACGATCTATCCAGCAACCTTCGCGCAATCCAAGGCAGGAATGCAGAGACGGCAACATGCTCAATAAGATTTGCTCCCCCTTTTGGACCTCTGCGACATGTTCCTGGGCTTGCCACCGCACCCTCTCCCATTCGTCATTCCACACAGGAATGTGCACAGGAACAACTAAAAAGTCACCAGGCAGGATACGCATTACTTCACGTGGAAGGAAGGCGGAGTCCAGAAGACGCTGCGTGCGCAGACATGTGACCATGTCTTCATTTGCACCCACAGCATCACAGCGTGCAGCTGACCACCAGAGTGCCCACCGCAATGCTTCGACCGCCACTCGGGCTTCGTTCCCATGCTGCTGGGAAAGGACCTGCTGCAGGCCATCTAAGTTTGCAGCCCTAATGCAGAAGTCAGCCCAGGAAGCATCGTCAGACGATTCACCGTACTGCATGCTTTGCTGCGTCACAGGCAAGTACGTCAGAACACACTGCAGCCAACTCATTTCGTTTCGAAAAGTTTCTCCCACCTTTCGTAGAGCACTGTTTAGATGCAACGCATCTTCCATGGCTGCCGCAAAATGCTCAGCATGATAACCTCGCACTCGTTCCTCATATCGCTTCCACTTGCCCGTGGTCCACGCGGAAGCCTTGCAGTTGATCCGAATGCTTTCCCCTTGCACAGCACCAGGCAGCCAATGGGTAGCGCGCAGCAAGACGCAGTTGAACCGAATCAAGCGATCTTCCACCTCGTAGGCGCGCTCATGGTGAGCCTTCGCTTCGGCCATATCGATGCATTGACTCAAATTCCGCCATGCATCTTTCCAGGACTGGTCTGGTTCGGGCTGCCAACGCCCTCGTACATCTTCTTTGGATGCTGACACTAGGAGTTGCTGCAACTGAGTCAGATGGCTTGCTGCCAACTCAAAACTCATGTCACGCTCCATGGCCACAGTTGCGGGGCACTGCGGGAGGAAACTACGCGAGCTGAAATGAGAGAACCGAAAGAGTAGAACATATAGAGATGCTGCAACGTGTCAACCGTCTATGTCTATACGTCTCTATAGCAAGATAGGTCCACATTGCCAATATCATTTTATTGAATGTACTGGGGGGTGACTCTAACCGCATGAGCAGAGCAACAGTAAAATCAAAGTGGAATAAACATATTTAGAGAAGGTCACATGGAAATCATTTTCTTTTTTGGGCTGCCATCCGCTCTGCAGTCATGAGGAAACGCAGACCCTTTTTTGCGGTGCAGGCACACGTCACGACTCCTGTCTCAGACGGCTACACTACAGAGGCAGCGCATTGCAGGAGCAGCCGGAAAATCTCACGCAGAGATCTCCTTCAGTGAATGTTAATCACCACTTGGCCGGAGCGCTTCGCAGATGACTTTCGTTTGTCATCGGAAGGCTCAGAAGATCCGGAAGCTTCCTTCTTCTTCTTTTTCTTCGGCTTCTCCGGAGAAGAGTCGCGCTTCTCTGTCCTCTCTTTCTTTCCTTTCTCCGGAGAAGTCTTTCCCTTCGACTTCTTGTTCATATTTTCCTTCCTTACCGGGGAAATCACAGAGCGATCCCGATGGGAACTTGCAGCAGCAGCTGCCGAGCGCAGGCTCCAGGCAGGACTTCGATCACGATCGCCTTCCTCTTCCCAATAATGTCTCCCTTCCTCCGCCAGCTCCGTTTGCCTGCCATACTTATTGGCACGAGCCTCATGCTTGCAGCGCGGCCACGACCCAGCCTCGTTCTGCTCCCACTTGGGGAGACGATTCCATTGCTGGCAAGCAATGCAATGTTCATTCAGATGTTTGTGTTGTTCCATGGCGGCCTTATAAGGGGCAACCTTTTGACCACATTCGAGGCAAATCCAGAAGTCCCGTTTCTTGCCTGCGCCCTTGTACTCCTTTCCTTTGGAGGCTTTCGTGGAATCCTCCTGCTTGCTACGAGGTGGGTCCAAAGGTTCGGGGACGGAAGACCGCATCTCACGACGACTTGTCTCTCGACGTGCACTGGGCGACTTCCTGTCCCGACGTCTGCCACGGTCACGATCTCGAGAGCGTGTGTGACGTCGACGACGCTTTCCTCTGTGACCCGATGATTCTTTCTCCTCCTTCGGCTCGGCTTTGCTGTCTGGCTTCTCTGTAGGGGCGTCCTGCCGTTCTGACTCGTCCTCTGTCTCGGCAGACTCCTCGGAGCTAGCGCACGCCATGCACCTGCAGCCGGGCAGCAAGAAACGGTGCTGGGTGCTGAAACAAACCAGACAAGCATTGCAATATAGGACACACACATATATATATATAAATCTCTAATATATATATAGATATAAATACATAGATATAGATATAGATATGAATAAGAATGGACCAACCCATTTATATATCATTATGCATGTCTATACATATATAAATATATGTATATGTATATATAGAAACATCTATGTAACCGCCCAAAAAAAAAGGTATCGAAGAATGAGAGAGCAAACAACGCACCGCAGACTCGGTTATGCAGCCAGACACCACGCAGGTGACATCTATCTGCCACGCAAGCTATAAATAAGTCATCACGCAGATGACTGGATACCACGCAGGTATCCCCTCACCACGCAGGTGAGGTCCACCACGCAGGTGGATGCAATTGTGTCATCTGGCTGATGACTGGATACCACGCAGGTATCCCCTCACCACGCAGGTGAGGTCCACCTCGCAGGTGGATGCCATTGAGTCATCTGCCAGCTGACTGGATACCACGCAGGTATCCCCTCACCACGCAGGTGAGGTCCACCACGCAGGTGGATGTCTCTTAAGTCATATGCCTGATGACTGGATACCACGCAGGTATCCCCTCACCACGCAGGTGAGGTCCACCACGCAGGTGGATGCGATTAAGTCATCAGGCTGCTGACGGGAGACCACGAAGGTCTCCCCTCACCACGCAGGTGAGGTCCACCTCACCGGTGGATGTGCTGAAGTCATCGCGCAAATGACTTCGAACCCACGATGCTGACTCAATTAGAAAGCAGAGAAGTTGAAGAGAAGAGAGTGAAAACGAAAAAGACACCAGAGATATCCCAATATATCCCACCCACACCCCGCCCCATGACCCCAGCCTCAACGCCCGAAGCCAGCTGCAGGGCACACCCGTCGCGAACAAACCGCTTGAACCCTATAGCAGATCACGGCCAAATGGCAACATGAACATGACCAAACAACATTACCATTGGAAAACCCTTGGTGATTACAGTAACGGAAACATACCATTCACTGAAAAAAAAACCTGTCCTGAACTGATAAACCCTTTTTTCTCCCAATTGGCTCAGATGTCACAAAACTGGCTATGTATATCCCCGACGCTTCCAGCAGGAAATTGTGCAATACTTGGTGTAGCGGCAACGACTGCACCCGTCCGCGAATTGCGAACAAACATCCTTTGGAATCCTAGACAAAAGAGCAGCACGGTGAGGATCCGGAACCTGCCCAGAGTCCTGCCGCGCAGGCACAGACATAGCGGGACGCCGCAAAACTGCGACAGCCGCAGCAGGCCGTTTCAAATTTTTCTTTCCCTTGGATGGGTTCTTTGGCTTTTTGACTTTTTTATTCTTTCCTGTGTTGTGATCTTGTTTCTCCACTTCCAGATCGTGACGCAAAGAATCAATCATCTTCTGAGGATCACACGCAGTCTCCTGCGGCTTGACATCCGAAACACAGGTCTCTGGTGGCTTATCGAGTATAGCCAACACAGATGATGCCGACGCAACATTCTGGCTTTCCTGACTCTGTCTTGTGCCAGGCATGTCTAATGAGTCCTGATATCTCTGTTGCGATATGGCCAATGTGGTCTGCCTTGCGACAGCTGCAGCAACATCCAATGCAGACACAGTCATCTGCGTGAGAACATTTCCGGAATCCACATTTTTTCCGGCTGCAGCGATAACATTGCTGACACGCAAGGGCCAGGTTCGACCCAATCGAAAAACCTCAGTCAACGACTTGCCTTTCGGGCACGTCGGTGTCCAACCATCCGGAAAAGCAGAGCGAAGATAAATGGCAGGACACTCATCCACCTTTTCTGGTAAAATTGTCAAGGAACTGGTCAAAGGCAGATATTTCTTCAAATGACGTTTCATCACCGGTTTCCATTTCTGCAGCAGACTTTGCTTCTCACAGTCATATACCACACTTGTCGGATGCATGGTGAATGCCAAAACAAGAAGAAAGGCATATGTTTCCTCCGTGCCATTGCGTAACCCTAGCTTTGCAGCTAAATCACACACCAGCTCCAATGCCTTCTCTTTCGAAGCCTGAGAGTCAGCCTTCTCTAAAAGAAGCCACCACTCCTCAGTCAAATACCTTGGCAAGGAACTGTAGTCTTGTTGCTTCACCCTGCCTTCAGTCTCTGCTACATCGCCCGGTTCAACCGTCTTATCTGCCAATGCAGACTTGAGTCTTTCCAACGATGCCCCATCCCAGATGCGGCTATCCAAGCTGGAAATGATTGGCCCTGATTGGTCCAACGTCAGCGATGACTTGCTGATCAAAGCCAAAAGTCTTTCCAGCTGCTTTAAGCGCAGCTCTCCATAATGGGGTAAAGAAAGTAATCCATTTAAAAAATTTTGCGACGCCACCACCTGTTTTCCAACTTGAGCCATATCTTGCTACAACAAAAACACTATGACCACATCAACCCTTCATCAACCAAATCACACTTTCAACTCCGAGTAACTTACAAAAAACGTCGAAATTTCCAACTTTTCAAAAAAAGCTAAGTCCCTTTGTAACTTTATTTCACCCTGTTGCATAACTATACTTATAAGTCCATAAGTCCATCCTAAGTTCACTCCGCGTGAATGCAACTTATGAAACCACTTAGCTACTTACATCCTAACTTATCCACCGCTAACTTATGTTATAACTCATGTTATAACTCCATAAGTCTCCGGCGACGCTTCAGTAGCTTTAGCGATTATTCTCCTACCCTATGACGTTGCCTTCTTACCCCCCCACGTTCCCATTTCAAAATTAAAATAGTCGTCCTGACCTTTGCAACGTGGGGGGGTGCTGGGAAAAACCACTTATAGAATTATTAGTTTTGGGGCTGGACACCCGGGAAAACAATCTGGCGGTACCGAGGGGGATGTTGAACTGAGGTGAGATGAGTCAAGACGAGCTGAGAAGAGTTAAGAAGAGGTGGACAGGAAGTGAGAAGTCGTGAGAAGAGTTGAGAAGAGAGGTGGCAAGATCTGAAAAGAGATGCGAAGATCGTTGAGAACAAGAAGACGAACTCATAGAACAGAGTTGAGAAGATGTGAGGTTTCTCTGCATCTCCTATAGGCAAACCTTGTCTTTGGATCCTATAGTGTAACAGTCCTTCCTTCTGGAAACTTCCGCCACCCGCCTCGCGCAGGTTTTACTTGTAATCCTGCAATGAATTCAGCAAATGCAGTAGAAAGCACAACATGTGAAACGCACTGACATGCAAAATTCGCTCACCGGGCCCGACAGCTTGAGCATGGAAAAGAACACTGGTGTGCGAAACACCGCAATTTTCTTTACGAATTTCTTTCACAAACAGTGTTCTCCAACCCTCGCAATACAGTCCTTTTTGTGTCACCCTCAGGCATCCTGGCATGTTCGAGAAACAATGGCAGGTTGAATGTGTTAAAAGCAGGCCAAAAAAAAACATACATATATATATATATATATAGTAGAACAACATAGAGCAACATAAGGACGATCCTGCAACCCATTGCAGTCATTTGCAATCTACAACCTCTGCACGGGTGCAAGGCACTGATCTGCTCCTCAGAGCCGTGGTTGCCCATCTTCCAACTCACCATTGCATATCCATCTGGGCACGGGGCTTCTCCGGTGGTGCTGGCGATATCCACCACGGGTGTGCGGATTTGAACATTCACAGCACGCTCCAACACCCAAGATCCTCTGAACTGGTCCCACTCCAACTTTTGAAGTGTCACGTTCGGCTCCTTGATGTTCCTTCTCAGTGGAACATTGATGCAACTGAAGCTGGCTGAGTTGAGACTGTTGCTGCTGCTAACTCTCAAACTGAATTTTCGCAAAGCCTGGCCCAATGGACAGTCGTAGTTCAAGGAGGTGAGTTCATACAACTCCTCGTTTGTAACTTGCTTTCCAGTGGTAGTCCTTGCTGACTCAGTTCCATCAACACTTGCAACCTCACAGCAAACATATGTGATTGTTCCGTCGTCTTCGTACTGCCAGGAGCGGATGGCTTCATTGATGCCGCATTCCACTTCCAACGAATCCCCAGAGCCACCAGAGTTGAAGCCGCTGCAACCAGCTGGACCAAGACCGGAAATGCCATCAGCGTCCATGCCCGGCGCCATGCACGTGAAGGCGATTTGCACCTCGTCCAGAGATTCCTCACCTTCTCTTAAAGCACGCCATTGGGACATGATGCGACCTCCTGATGGTACCAAGGAAAGTCAGACGCCACAGTACATGAGCGGTAAACATGTCATAGCATGGATGTCAATTACGGAACACGTTTTTTGGGACAATTGAAAATTGTGATTTTCTATTTTCTACCTTGGCATGAGGATTCCTTGCATTTTTCAGGAAAATTGGAAAGTGAAGGAACGATAGGGAAAGGTCCTGGGCAAGCCACTTCTTGAGCCACCAGCGCAGTGTAGCTTCCTCCGTCGTCTGAGAACTTGTCTGTATTGAAACGCTCCAAATTCCACGATTCCTCCGTCACTGGTTTGACAGTTCTTGGCGCAAGCTCCTGCCGCAGTGCGGCGGCGCAGGCGGTGCAGCTGCACTGTGCATGAGTCTGTTGTTGCTTTGGGGCGTTGTTCTGCACTCACAGGCTGCATTTTTCAAAGCGGTATCTTCCCGACGCTGCAAAACACCTTTTTCAACTAGGTGCAAATGAGACATGTTAATATTATTCTTAACTTTTTTCAGACTGAGAAAACATATTCGCGGGAGCACGTCTTGGCACACATTGCGGCTGCCGTTTATCCAACCGTGTGTACAACCACTGGTTACGCCGTGGTTAAGGGCAGGGTTGGTGTCGGAAAACGCGAGTCGGAAAACGGATGTTGGTGTCGGAAAACTGGAATGTTGGTCTCGGAAAACGAAAATCTTGGTGTCAGCAAACGGGTATCTCGGCCGACGAGAGCGTCCATTTCGGGTGCTCATTTGTTGCTCTCTGAGGCACGTGTCACAACCAAACTCAGTAGGCTACGGGTCTGAGAGTGGACGCTGAGTGCTAGATCACCAATTAGACACAATATTGGGGCATTGTGCTTGCAAGCATTTACTACTCAATACCGGCGAAGGTCCCCCAACGTCCCAACGTTGCAGTCAACTGTCATTCCGGCATGGAACTACGCCCCCCAACTGCTAGGAAAAGTCACCCCGACTTCTTCGCCCATTGTAAACGCAGCACGCAAATGTGCAAAACACCATGAGAACGCAAGTCGCCCCAATGGTTTCAAAATATGGAAATAATAAGCAAAATGATGCATTTCATAATCAAAACGCCATGTAAACACATGGTTCATGTATGTTTGGGTAAATATATATATATATGTATTATATATAGTATAATATATATATATATGTATTATATATAGTATAATATATATATAATATAATATATATATATATATATTGTATCAAAACGCATCTGATTCTAATGTTCAAAGTAAAACAAGTACATCTAAGAAATGTCATCTTTTGGCTCAAAACACAATGCGAAAGCGTGATTCATGTATGTTTTGGCGACAAATCTATGGGGTTCTGGTTTGCATCTCAACTCAATATTTCTGCAGCCAATTTCTGTGGCCAAATTGTGCTGTTCTTCAAACAAAGCATCAAATTCCCCAGGTGGTACGTTTGAACTGAGCCCCCAGGTGGGTCTTAAATCATAGGTTCCGGGCGAGGCCACAAACGATGCCAAAACGACGCCCGAACGAGGCCAGAAAATAGCTTTGGAAACCCTCAGCTTTAGCAGCAGTTTACCACCAGCCCAGCAGCAAGTTTCTAGCAGGAGTCTAGAAGCAGTCTGGCAGCAGCTCAGCAGCAGTTTACATGTGAGGCTTCGGGGGGAATTTAAACAATGACTTGCAACCGTGACGGGGGATGCTGTGAATGGACAAATATATATTGCATGCGTGGAAGAGGTTTAGACAATGACTCGGGATCTTGACAAGAACCCTCGGGAAGGGAAGGCCCTGAATGGAGAACTACTGCTGCATGTGGGGCTTTAGGTGGGGAAATTTTAACAATGACTTGACTTTTTGAGAAGAACTCTTGGGAAGGGAAGGCTGTGAATGGAGAAATACTATTGCGTGTGTGGCTTTGGGGGGTGAAATTTAAAAATGAGTTGGAAGCGTGAGAAGAACTCTTGGGAAGGGAAGGCTATGAATGGAGAAATGCTATTTTGTGTGGGGTTTTGGGTGGTTAGGTTAAACAACTTGCTGATGCTTGTTTGTTGCCCCTGTTGCCCTTTGATGTTGTGCTTTTACAGTTAGGTAAGTAAGAAAAAGTAAGCGTGTGAAACCTGACTTCCAGAGTTTGTCAGCCCGCTCTCTCCTGATTACTTGAAATAATATTTGTTTAAAAGGACATTGTAAGGAGGCGCCCTGAAGCCTCCTGAAAATTTTCAAATGCCATTGAACCTCGTGGATCTGGCCAAGGAGGCGCCATGGCCAGTCTCCTGGTTGTCAATGATCCATGACCCATGTCCACGACAAGGTGGCAGATGGTCAGTGAAGGAGGCGTGTCTCCTAATAAGGAGGCGCGACTCCTGACCAATCTAAGTTAAGGCGGCGTGCGTCTCCTGGTCCTTGGTCTGATGACATGAATGTCAAGTGACACGGAGGCGCGCGCCTCCTGCCCATTGCCCTAAGTTAGTCGAGATGGGAAGGAAGGCGCGTGTCTCCTCAAGACAAGGAGGCGCGCGCCTCCTGTCCATTGACAAGGGAGTTTGAGATGGGAAGGAAGGCGCGCGTCTCCTAAAGTTAAGGCGGCGCGCGTCTCCTGAAAGCTAAGCAAATCGTCGTCTAGAGAATCGTTGGCAGTTGCTTCGAAAATTTTGTTTTCATTGCGTTGCAGCTGTTGGATCTCAAGTGATTTGCCCTTGTCCCTCACCTGACTGGAAGTAGCCATGCGCAGCTCTGCACTGTGGCTGGCGGCGCTGATGGTGATAGCCTTGGCAGCGCCAGGCGAGTCTGAAGGAGGGCCTCCCCCTGGTCCTCCTGCAGACCCGCTCCAGGCCTTGGCTGCAAGCCTGTGGGGTTACCTGGCGCGGCCTCCGCCTCCTACAGGCAGTGCCCCTGGCACTGGGGGGTCTGGCCCGGCGACAACGCCTAAGGCGACAACGCCTATGGCGCCAACAGCCGGGGCGGGCATGGCAGCCGGACCACCAGGTGGACCAATGGGCGAGGCGGGTTTGGCAGCCAAAGCCCCGCCACTACTGCCAAGCGGCACGCCCATGACGCCACCGCCTCCTGGGCACATGGACCCACCTGGCAGTTCTGGGCCGCCGCCGTGGAGAAGTATGGCGCCGCCTGTGGCAAAAGCTGTCATTCCAGACCGTCCTGCTGTCCCCGCCCCTTCCCATACGGCGGAGACTCCTGAGACTCCCCCTGTGGTCGACTTGACTTCAGCTCCGCCGCCGCCTGCAGAGACTATGAACCACACGGTGGACCTAAGAATCTGCAAGCTGTGCCAAAAGCAAACGTACGCTGGCCGAGGCCAATGCTTCAACAAGAACTGCGAGCCTGGGATTTAATTTAGCAGTTTTTATGTTTGGGCGGCCCCCAGTAAATAGGTCTGGTTTTTTCCTTTTCTTCCAATGGATTTTGTTTCTGGTCGCGCCATGCGCCCTCAGGACATCTACTGGAAACCGTCGTCAAAGAAGCGCAAGAAGAGCAACAAGGGCCGGCAGAGAACAATTTGGTACAACAAGCGGGGCCAGTGGGATTGGGAAGACGACGAAGATGAAGATGACGACGACAACTGGCACTACGTCCCACCCAAAAAACCTCTTTGGGATGGGTGGCAAGACTGGTCCCGCGGTGGTGGAGGAGGTCACCACGAAAGAGGGCGCTGGACCTGGTCCTGGGTGTCTACGTGACAGAGACTGACAGCAGCGGGTGGTTAAAAAAAGGGGCGCAAAGCGGCCAAGTGGTTTCGTGGTCTGGTAATGACACTGGGTTGGATATATCAGGGCGGTCTCCTGACACAATGGTCAATGGTCAATGACTGAAGGAGGCTTAGTCGTCATCAATGTTTGCAGACGATCGGGCTTCAAGTCAGGGTCTCCTAGACGAAGGAGGCGGCTGTCAAAGCAAAGCTTTTCGCAGCCAGTGTCAAAGGTGATATGACCTCCCTGGACTGGCGAGTCGTAGGGTTTTCTTAAGGATATGAGATTCAGGTTTTTCTTGGTGACAGACTTTTTTCTTGGGTTTTTCTTGGGGGTCCTTGGGTTTTCTTGGGGGGTGCTATGGTAGGGTGGCTTGTCGCAGCTATTCCACCTTGGAATCCCTGCATGAGATACCTAGCCAGTGAACATGGCAATTGCTATTGCTTGGCATCCTTGCATGCATGGGATATCTTCCCAGTTTGCTAGTGCTTGCAATCATGGCACGAGATGTTGAACCAAGGAGTTTGGAGACTGCTATTGTTCGGGATCCCTGCATGGGATATCTAGTTAGGGTATTTGGAGACTGCTCCTTGGACCTGTGCCTGCATTGTGTGCAATGTAGGCACAGGTTTGGAGACGTGCGTTCAGGCCCAAGCAGAAAAAATATACATATATACTGTATACACATATTCATATATATATACATATATATATGCATGTACATAATATACTAAGTTGAAATTTACATTTGTCTATGTCTAGATGTATACATATATAGTTAAGCATGTACATGCAGGTGTTTTTTAAACTCACCATTCCTCAATTAGATTTTCGCTAGTATTGTTTTGCTCAAAGCGTGGAAACTCCCTTGCTTGGCACATGTTGCCTTGGTGGTGCCGGGCTGAATTGAATTTTCCATTGCTGCACGGGGGTTGAACGACTTTGAGAAATGCTGTGGGTTTCTTTTCAGTGCTGCACGCATGTTCATTGCCCATGTCTCAGCAGCTGTTTGGCCAAGCATGCCACCCGGTCAGAAAGACCCGAAGGAAGAGGTCAGGCTGTGTTTGACAATTTTCTTTCGGCATCACAACTGGCAGTTGTATTTTTCTGCATGTTGGGAGGTGCCACAGAAAGAGACAAAAAAGAGACTGGCTGAGGCTTTCCCGTATATATTTGCAGCATCAGCAATTTCTTTTTTATTATTAAAGTTTTTCCCCCAATATCTTGTTGCAGGCTCCAGTGGAAGAGGTGCTTCGGAATGCTCTGAAAGAGCAGGACCTGGAGTCTGCCTTGGCTGTTGCCTCACCGAAAGCTCAGTCAGCACCGCCTGGTTTTTTCAAGGTTGGGAATGAGTTGGTTCCGGAACTCCAAGATTCCCCTTCGAACTCTTCGACTGGCAGTGGAGAAGATCAATGTGATCTGAAAACAGCTGCTGGCTTGAAAGCCCTGGCGAAGCAGCAGGACTGTTTGCCTGCTGTTATATGAGCGAATGCATTTTTTTGATTGTTTTTATTTTTTGGCCGCAGTACTACTACAAGCTCGCGGTGACCAGCCGCCGGCCAAAGTCGATGCCTACTGGCCCTTCAAGTGCAAAGTCTTCTGCTTCTGTGCCACATGGATGTGTGAGGCTGGTGGATGTTGGAAACAATTTGATGTCTGGCGGATGATTCTTTTGCTTGCCAGGGTTGATGGCGTTTTGGTGAACAAGCCTCCGCCGGCAGTGGATGCAGCTTCGTTGGTTTTGAGAAGGCTGCTATAAAGTTTGTATGTTTCATTGTCGTTATATATCTGGATATTGCTACAAGCTGGCAGGCCTCCTCCACCCCCGCCACTGTGCCCTAAGGGGCCTGGCAAAGTGTTGGGACCTAAGTTTTTGTTTCTGCGATCCTTGTGTGGAAATGTGGTTGTGTGGCTTCAGGATTGACCTGGATCCCTGAGCTGGCAAATCGAAGGGTGAGCTGCATGGAAAAAATGCCCTGTTGCATGTGCATGCTGTTAGGGTGGACTGATGTTGGCTTGCATTGTGGCATTGTCTTTCTGGTTTGTGTATTTGTTAGTTACATCGTTGTTGTTTGAGGTTGTTCATGGTGGCTGCATGGCCTGTGCCCTACTAAAATGAGGTGCACCTGTTTTTCATCCTGTGTGCCTTTTACTCCTTCAGCCCTGTTGCTGCTCAGGTGACCCACTTTCTGTACAATGGTCTGGGCCTCAGATTCAGTCATGACATGTTCACACACACACACGCCATGCATGCCATTCACACATGACATGATCAAAAGGCATTCATTCATGCATGACATGACTAAACTTCATTCACACACACGGCATGGTCATTCATCATTCATGCATGACATGACCCACGACATGATCAAACATCATGCATGACATGACATTCACAGCATGTTGCATGAAAGTTTATAAGCATGGCATAACCACGGCACTTCATGGCATGACATGCATGGCCATGAACATGCCATACATGACATGCATTGCACGAATGATCCCTGCCTTGTCTCCGAGGGTAAATACAAATGGTGGACGTCGACATCAAGTGACCCTGTTTTTTTTCTGGCAAGTGCGTGTCTTGCAGTTGGCGTGTCCATGCTTGCAAAGCTGCCATGGAAATTGTGTAGCATTTGGCTTGGTGAGGGGCAGAGCAACAGTTGCTTTGCTTGGGAAGGATGCCCAGGACATTGAAAATTTTGGCCAATGACCCAGATGTGAAGGACAAATATGTTGCGGCCTTCAAAAACCAGCGTTTTTTGAAGGAGGCTTGTTTCAGTGACATGCATGTCTTTCAGCAATGGTGATTTGAAACTGCTCCTTGAGAGATCCATCATTTTTTCTTAATCGCTTGTGGCTTCAAAGCTGTTTTCCCCCTCCATCTTCTGGCAGGTTGGCCTTTCTTTTGTCCGGGCTCACTCGGAGAAGCTCTTCCACAAAGGGTCATGTTGCACCATCAAGGATGTTGAGTTGAACTGGAAGGTGGGAGCCACAGAGTGGCCGTTTGCCTTTGACTCTTTTCTTTTTGGAGCATTGTGAATGTTTTTGATTGCCTCTGCATGGAGGTGATCATACCCATTATGGAGGTGACCCCATGGGTGCGGCTTAGTGAAGAAGTGTTGAAGGATGCCATCCTCACCTTCTACAGTGAGGAGAAACTGGTCCCAGTTGGTGTCTCTGAAGAGGCCATGCAGCCGTGGGCTGAGAAGATGGCCTTTGCGGCTCACAAGTTGGTGCGACGATTTCGAAAGCTTTTTGATGAGTCCCCTGATTCGAGCAGAACTGAAGTGTTGCATGACATGAAGAAGCTTTGTGTGGCCAGGAAGATTCCCAAGAGACCTGCTGGGTTTGATGAGGAGTCATCCCCAGACCGTCCAGTGGCTTCTGAAGAGGACCTAGAGCAACTGCCGAAAGTTGATTGGTCCATGGTGCTTGCAAAGTTGCAGGCCAAAGTTGATTGGCCCATGGTCCTTGAAAAGTTGAAGGATAGGCAGACTGCAAAGACTATTGCAGAACCTATGCCTCTGGATGATGAGATCTCTGAGGATGAGCCAGAGCCACCTCTGTTGCAGAACTGCAGCCAGCTTGGTGGAGTGGCCGGTGGACCTGGTTGCAAGAGGCCAGTTCCCACTCCGGCCAGGAGCGATCAGTGGCAGCTCCCGAGGTTTGTCTTGGATAGCCTTGAGGAAAAAAAGGCTCCACCGCCCTTTGCCACAACTGGTGGGGCTGAAGACCAAGTTGAGGACCAAGTGGAACAACATGAGGCCGCTGCTGAATCAGAGATTCTTGCCCAGGATGCTGGTGCGAAGAAGCCTCGCAAAAGTCGCAAGAAGAAAAAGCAGCCCGCTGCACTGAGCGGTGAGGATGAGGCTGCCTTGGCCCCGCAGCACCAAGGAAATCCTTCAGGCGCTGTTCCTGTCCAGGCTGGTGCTTGCCCTGAAGGCGTTGCGGCCCAGAAAAAACGCACTGCAGCTGCTGTGCTGTCGGAAGGAGGTGAGGAAACCTATCAGCCCAAGATGTTTTCCGAAAAAAGAAAGCAGTTTATTGCAGCTGAACGTGCTGCGGGTCTTTCGTATAAGGATGCCAACCTTAAGTGGATGTCTTCCAATGAGAGGGCGAACCTGTTGATGAACGTGCCCATGGCCGAGTTGAAGAAGCGCAGATTTGTCTAGAAATCTAGCTCTTGTGGGGTTTCTGTCATGCGGGGCAGCCTGCATGATTTACAACTTGCAGTGGGGAAAGGCATGCGTGAAGTGCTAAAAGGACTCTGCAGCATACGCTTTGCCAAACTCAGTCCTGATTTGGTTTCCATTTTGTCTTATATTTTTTCTCAGTTGCAAGCCAATGTGATTCATGTCTGCAGTTTTGGGTTTGCAGCCATGGGGGTTGCTGAGCTTCTTAGTTGGGGGGCTCCCCCAATACTTGTTCTCTTGCACCTGTGCTTGGTGCATCATTCTGAGTGCGAAAGTGATCAGGTGGGCTGCTTAGAAACGCGATCAAATCCATCCATGTGTCAGCAATCGATTTGCCTGAAGGTTCATGATTTCGCTGAATACTTCTGCGGTGCTGCAGTGGTTTCAGCCTCCCTTAGGGAGGTGGGTTGCTTGATCACAAGCAGTTTGGTCTGTTTTTGATCTTGTTTTGTTTGTGCCAGTTTGGATTCCATGGTGAATCCTTTGACCTGCGACTTGACGAGAGCTTCGACTTTCTCTCTGCAGCTGGATTTGGGTTTGGGGCTCAGCTGTGGGTGGGAAGGTGTGCTGAACCTTTTCTTCAACACTGTTTGATGCAGGCTGGCACTCCAATCGATTCGTCGCAGCAAGCGTGGGGCACTTCACATGATGGCCTTGGCTTGCAATTCGTTTTGCTTCCCGCTTGACCCTCAAGATTTGTCGACTGTCAGCCTTGACTTGCTTTGCCAATTTTGAAATTTTCGAGGTCAAGTGCCACACACCAGAGAAGTATGCTGTGGCCTCTTGGAAACCAAGGCTACAGCTTTGTAGCTCAAGGTAACAAAATGGCTAGTAGACTTGCCTTACTTTGCATCTACAGTGTATCCCATGGATGCCGGTTCCTGATAGAACAACCGTCTCTCAGTGCCTGTGAGCTTCATCCACGTCTACGTGAGCTCTTTGAGTTGCTGGAGGTTGGGTTTTGGAGTGAAAACCTTGCAAGGCAGTGCAGTTGATTTTGTCTGAACAATCTGCATTTTTTTCTTGTGATTCTTGTGTTGTGCAGGTCTTCGTCTGCACCATTTGGGGTGGGCTCTATGCCGACTCTCCGGAAAATGCCACCCCAAAGCGTCATGTTCTGTATTCGAATGATGAGGATCTTTTGTTGAGGCTGCAGGCAGCTGCAGGCTCTGCTACCAGAGACCAGCTGGATGCTTTACATGGGCCTTCCTTGGTGACCAAATATGAACGACCAGATGGCTCTGTGGGTTTTTCTGGAAATGATGCGATGCAGTCCAGCCAGTTACCTGCCTGGATTAATTCCCTGCTGGATTTTTTCTTCTTTCATAGGTGCAGAGAAGTAGTTTGAAAATGAACTGCAAGGACATACCATCGCAAGTTTGGATGGCATCTTGCACATTTGAAAAGAGATATGGACAATGGCCCATGGAAGGACCACAACATGCCAGATTCAGTTGGTTTTTTGTGATGCTTCACTACCGATGGCTCTGCTACCACGGTGCGGCAGGAACTTCCCAAGGGCCCGAAGAAAGACCAGGGCGTTGTCTTCCACAAGTCTGACTTGGAACTCTTTAAGGCCTGCTTGGCATTTATGTGCTTAAATCTGGTTCATTGTGCACATGTTTGGCTGCAGGAACTTTCCTTTGAAAGTGTTGACCTGTGGTACATTTATGGGCATGCATGTGGGCATCATTGCACACATAAACATACATAACAGAATTCCATGCATTCATGCATGAGAAATGTTTGGTTGAAAAAAATCAGTGATTGTTTCTCTGAGGCTGACTGCTGGAGCCTCATTCGCTACCTCACCAGGAGCCAAGAATTTCGACCGTCTGATAGTTGGAAGCGACCCATCAAGAAGGCTTTGAACCAAGTCGCAGCTCGAATGGAGTCGAGCTGAGCTGAATGGAGTCTGAAAAGTCAGCACCCAGGTGCCCCGAGAAATTTCCAAGAAATCCTAGCGAAAACCCCCCAGCCTCAAGAAGAAAACCCCGAGAAATTTCTTGGGTTGTTTTGGTTGGATTTGTTTGCCTATTTAAGTCTGGTTTAGTGGGGATTTCGTGGCTTTTCGTGGCTTTTCGTGGGTTTTTCGTGCTGTTTCTGCCTGCCGACTATCTCATGTGAAGTCGACATACATTTTCACTCTGATGTAGAATTTTGGTTCCCAGCTGGCTGCCTGAGCAGCACTGGCCAATTTTTTTCCCGTGTGGAAGACACCATGCTGTCGCCCACTCCCATCTTCGAGGCGGTCATCGAGGAAATGGAGAAGCAATATGGTGGAGTCTTGCCAACGGCAAAGCAGCTGGAGAAAGAGCTTGGCATAGGGCTGAAAGAGTGCAAGGAAATTCTTCGAGAGTACAAGGAAGCCTTGGAGAAGCGATCCCGGCTGCCAAAGCAGCCTGCCAAGACCAGTTCTAAAGCCACGTCCAAGGACGTTGCTGCAAGTTCTGCAGCTGCACCTGTGGTCAAGGCTCCGCGACCAGTGGTGGGCTCGGGGAAACCCCCGGCTCCAGCTACCAAAGAGGGCTCAGGGAACCCCCCAGCTCCAGCTACCAAAGCTGCTCCTACTGTTGTCGTGCCAGATCTGGAAGAGACTCAGAAGGATGATGATGATGATAACACTGAGATGTACGAGGATGCCCAAGGTGATGTCTCTGAGCCTGGTGACTATGATGGAGAATCTTTGGAAGGTGAAGAAGAAGAGGAAGAGGAGTGTGATGTGGCAGAGGAGAAGGAACCTGCCGAAGCCATGTCTTTGAAGATGGTGCCTCCTGTGAAGGCTGCAGGCCTTGAGTTGCTGCCTGCAAAGGCGTTGCCTGCTGTGAAGGCTGTGCCGGTGGTGCCTGCAAAGGCATCTGGTCCTCTTTTTGCCACACCTCCGTGCAAGCGAATGCTCTCCTTTGGTGAAAATGGTGACCCTGCGTCCAAGCAGCTGAAGATTGCGTCCCAGGCATGGGTGCATGGGGTATATACTTCGTTTTTCCTCCATGTTCTTTCCAGTGGCTGCCTTCCCCTGTTGGAGGCCACTGATACTGCCTTGCACCGGTCCATGTCGGAGAGGCGTGTCCTAGTTGATACCTGTATTGTTGCAGCCTTTTGCTTTTCCTGGGCCAGCAGCTTTTCTAAAGGCATTAGCAAACACATGGTCAGGTCCATTGCCACCTTGCTGCGTGGCCAGCAGCTTCTGCGACAGCAACATGGAGACGAAGTTTCAGCCCATGTTGGAGACCTTACGCCAGACAAGTTGGAAGAGATGGCCCGTTTGCCCTTGCCCTAGAAATTTTCTTTCTTGTTGACACAGTATTGTCTTTCCAAGACATTTCTTTGGACGCAAACCTGATTGTTGCATGTCACTAATTGCCTTTGCAGGTTGCGTGAGTCCTCTGAGAATGAGTCCTCTCCGAAGGATGAAGAACTGGATCGTGAGCCTCCTGCTGCCCCTGAAGCTGAGGTGGAAGTTGCTGAGGCAGCTCCTTCTGAGGATGAGCAGATCGACAAGGGCCCGATGGAGCCCCCACATGGAGGACTTGTCCTCTCCAAGCCCGTCAACAGCACCAACTACAGGAGGGAGTACCATGTGTTGAAGAGAGTTGCCGAAGGGCCCCGAGCTGTTGAGTACCCGAATATTGCTAAGCTTTTTCTTGGAACCAATGCAGAACAAAAGCAGGTCCTCAAGGCTTTCCTCCTCAATGGAGGAAACCTTGATGCTGTTGAAGCGCATGTGACTGCTGAGACCACCCACCTACATGAGGTCGAAGGTGTCCGTGAGCTTCTCACAATCGATGGCATGCGAAAGGCTGGGTGTTCTGAGCTTCCTGGCTCAAGTTTTGCCCACCTTGCCCTGAATCTTCTTAATCGTCAATTTAGAAACCTTCTCTGTGGTTCCCTTTAGGGGTCTGAGAAAATCAATGTTTCAATTTCTTTTTCTTTACTTAACTTGCATCCTTCACCTTGTCAACTCTGACTGAGGGCCAAGATAAAGGCTTGCGTTGCGAAGGGAGGTGTGCCGGATGAAGATTGTCCAACGGACATGGAGTCCATGAAATTTTGGTGCACTGTCACCAAAAAGGCGACCACAAAGGATGCTTTCAAGGTCACTGCGGCTGCCAAAACGGCCCTGAAGCCAGCTTCCGCTGCAGCTGCCTTGGGAGCTGGTTTGCAGGATGGTCCTTCGCTGCTGCCAGTTGGTGATGCCCAAGCGCTGCTGGCTTCTGTCACGACTCCTGCTGCTGGGGCCTCTACGCCGACTACGGCTCCTGCGACGCCTGGACAAGGTTGGCTCTGAAACATTGTTTTGCTTTTGTTACTTGATCCTTCTTGCTGGATCCTTGGCAGGCCGTGCGAAGGCGAAATGCAAGGCTGCGAACAAGGGACCCAAGGTCAAGGGACCCCTTGGTTTGGATTTGGCCAACAAAACCCTGGAGCAGAAGGTTGGACTGCTGCGTTCTGACCTCATTCTTCAATTTCCTTTCTCTTTTTTTGCATGTGTGGCTTAAATCCGTCTGAGGTACAGAGCTCAAAAAGGAGTTGAATGCGATCAATGGGTTGGTGCTTGACTGTGAGGGCGAGCCCCGGGTGAACCACCATGCGGCAGAGCTTCGAAAGCTTGCTGAACCTGTGAAGGAGCTGCATGGAAGGCTGGGTATATGTCTACAACTGCCACCCTTGCTCTATGTCCCTTTCTTCTGGTAGGTTGGGAGAAATCGACGCTGATGCTTCGTTCACTACCTTTTTGGGCACGTGCACAGGGCCAGCCTCGTCCTCAGTGAGTTGAATAGAACTGGTTTATTTGTTTTTTATTTTTAGAATTTGCGTGAGGTTGCTGAGACGCGCATGAAGCGTGCAGAGCTTACTGCGTGCATCCGTGAGCTCAAAAAGCAACACTGCCATGTTTAGAGCAACTTGCTCATTCACAAACTTCGTTTTTTTGCCTGCCAGGGGCTATACATACCCATGATCGGGTGGAAAGCTTGAGGTGTAGCATGGCCATTTTGACGAGAGACTGTGCTTGGCGATCCTGTCAAAAACTTGCTGCATGGATCTTGTTAGCTGAGCAAACCCCTGCATGCACAGCAACTTCTGCTTTTTGATTGCGGTTCCTGCTTTCCACTTCTTTGAAACCTACCTGCATATCATATCCTAGTTTGCATCTTTGTACAGGTACGTCCCATCTCCCTCCTGAACAAAGTTTCCGAAAAGAATTGGATCGGAGGACTGCAGCTGTTCCTCACTTCAGTGCTACTAGCACCCAACTATTCCTGCAGGATTGCCAATGAAATTGGCACTGGAAATGCAAGCCTGGCCTCTGCTGCTCGCATTGGTGAATGTTATGGTTCCACTATTTTCGGGTGCCTGTCATGTATTTGGTAGCCTTGCTGCTTCACAAGTTTTTTTTGGTGAATTGCAGCCAGGCGGCCTTCTATGGCACGGGATGACAGAGCTCATCGCAAATTTGTGAGTGCTGGCCTGGCGGTAAAGGATGTCATCACCTGGCATCAGATACCTGTCAAGAATGACAATGGTGACCAAGAGGTCCGATCTTGGCCGTTAATGCTGCCCCATGACATGGCACTGTCCTTAGCCTACTTTGGCTGCTGATCTGACAGTGCTGGCGGTGAAATTGCACATACGCATGTTTATTTTTTGATATATATATATATATTATACATACATCAATACAATTTTTCATACACATATATAATTATATATATAATTTTAAATATGCAGATGTTCTATGCATTTTTATTTCTATACTCATACCCATGAATGTTTGTACTTAGGTTTTGACCATCATTCGCTCTGGCCACAGAGATGTGCTTGGCTTTGCAGATGATACATATTGGGGCAACCTTGAAAGGTATCATGGCTTTTCAAAACCGGAAGGTCCAGCCAGTGAATCTATTGGCCTCAATTTCTATGGTGATGAAGGGCAAATCTTTGACCAGTCTGAATATGTATGTGTCAATTCACCCCTTTTCCGACCAACAGTCGGTACTCGAGATTCCTCATTGGCATGGTGCCTTCAGCAATGTGTTGGAAAACTGCAGACAAAGTGAATGTCACTATTCGGGAACTCCTCCGTCCTATCATGCAATCTTTCAAGACTTTGGCAACTGAAGGTAGTGCAGGGCTGCATGGTGTGTTGGTATCCTGCAAAGGGGATTGGAAATGGCTGGTGCAATCTCTCCACCTTAGAAGTCAGCCGTCGACTGATTCAATTTGTTGGCAGTGCGGGGCCACCAAGTCGATGGCTTGCCCTTTCACTGATATGTCCGATGCAGCACTCTGGAGGACCACGCCTCCAATTCCAGGAGTCCATGTACTGGACCCGATGATTGCGCAATTGCCGTGCCCACCAATCATAAGCCTTGATGCAATGCATATTTTCCATTTAGGAGTTGGACGAGATTTAGCGGCTTCTGCGCTCTTGCTGCTGCTCCGATCCAATTTCTACAATGGGCGCAAGGCTGGACTTTTTTTTTGGAAAGTTGCAGCTCATATTGTTTGTTTTCTGCATATCTTGGTAGGCAGAAGATCGCATGAAGAATGTGACTGATGAGATCAAAGCTTGGGTGAAAGGGAATCTTAAGGACAAAAGGTTACCAAAATGGTGGAAATTGAGTCGGACACGCCTTAGCTTGAAAAAGGACAAATATGTGCACTTGACAGGAAAGGCTTGGCATACAGGTGCCATCCTGCAATATTTGGCAGATCTCTTCACCAACCAGCCAGTCCCGCAGTTGGATTCCAATGTGAAGCATGCAGTGTGGACTGCGAATCAGCTCTTTGGTTTCTTAACGTCTTTGCGGTCTGAGCAAGGGCTGTGGTTAAAACCTGAAGACATGCAACAGGCGAAGACTCTCGGAAATTATTTCCTCAGAATGTATGTGGAGCTTCATACCACATACCGCAACTTATCCCACTTTCGTTTATTCAATTGCAGGCCGAAGCTGCACCTCATGGCCCACATGGTGGCAGGGCTTGCCTGCAGCCCTCGCAATCCACTGATAGATGCTGTTTGGATGGATGAAAATTGGATTGGTCAGATCATGCATTTGGCAAAGAAAACTCATTCCAAAAGGACATATGCGTCTACTTTGATGAGATATTCTGCAGGACTCCTGCCTTTGCGTTTTTTGGTCACAAGAAAGCTTCTCACATGTTCTTGCTTGTGCAGGATTGAAGTTTGCTTTGGAAGAAGCATCCAAGCTCCTGGCCGGAGCCCTATACACTGCAAACAAATCACGCATGCATGTCAACATGCATGGCATTGCATAGCATGACATCACATTGACATGCATGGACCATGCATCACAAATGAACACGACATGCATGCCATGTGCACACATGATTTCAGGTGGATGGATTTGATCTATTTCTATTGCTTTCCCCTGCTCCGCGAGTCTGAAATGGAAGGCAACCGCCGCTGTGTGTAGCTGCAACTGCCCAAAGGGTGGAAACCAACCTTTCGGTTGTCTGAGTGTGACAAAAAGTGCTTGATTGGGTGGCCAGTGTCATGGTGAACAGTGTGGCCAGCTCTTTCTGAAGTTTTGAATGTTGGCATAGAAAGAAGGCAAGGGCCAGAAACATAAATAAATAAAAATATATATATTTATATGATGCTACTGGGCTGTAGTAGTGGGGGAAAGGGGGGTGGGGAGGGGTTCGTGGGGTAAAGGGATGTAGTACTGGGGAAATGGGGGGTTGGGAACGGTTCGTGCTGGGCAAGGGGGTTGGTGGGGGGGTTCGTGGTGGTAAAGGGTTTTCGTGGGGTTAAGGGGGTTTCTTGTAGTTTCAGGTTTTTCTTGCTGGTTCAGCTCCATCGTGGGGTTTTCATAGAGGTTTGACGGTCCAGGTCCGCAATCTCCTGGACAAAGGAGGCGGCTGTCAAGACTGGCTAATAAATCAAGTCGCAGCCAGTCTCCTAGTTCAAAGGAGACTGAGTTCAACTCACACTTCGCTGGTCAAGGACGGTGTTTGGACAGCCGGTGAAAGCCTCTGAGTTTAGAATCAGGAATTCGAACGGGTTTGCTTCTAAACTTGCACACTTGCAATTCAATTGTTGCTTTGCTTGCCCAAAAAAACAGGTTGGCCAGGGAAGTTTGAAACTTTGACTTTGTAGTGTTTAGACAGTATCTTGCAGCCATGCCGTCTTCAACAGTGATCAAAGAGACCGTGAAGAAGGAAGCGACAATCTTGCCCTTGAAGAGTGACAGCTGCTTTCCTCTGAATCCTGAAGCCCTGACGAAACAGAAGAACATGCTCAAAAACATGTCTACAAAGGGCATCCAAGCGAAATGGGGCTACCTCAAAAATTGCTCGCCTTTCAAGAACCAGGCACGAACTCTGGCCAGAAAAATCGAAAAAGAGCTGATCCGGCGGGGCGTCATGGTAGAAGATGACGATGACGAGTCGACGCTGACTGAGGGAAGTTGGTGCGGTAGTTGAATTGGGCACAATTAATTAAATTAAGATTATTAATTCATTTGTCATGGCCTGATGCAGTCACCCCGAGTTTTCACCCGGAAGTGGCCAAAGTTGCTTTGATAGCCGTCTTGGGAGAAAAAAAAGGGGAGCCCACAGCCGCGATGCGTTGGGGGTAGTATAGCAACGCGGGTAGAAACTTCCACGTCATTCAGAACAGCCACGCTTGCTTGGAAGATTTTTTCTGATGTGTGCTGCAGACTGGCTTGACATTGAGGCATCCAGGGGTCATGGCTCTGCCTGCCAAAATCGTGCCTGATGTGACGCTAGTGTCGCCGTCTTCAAAGAAATTGGTGGAACATGGGCAGCGTTGCCAGACTTCAGACAACGCTTGGCTGCTCAAGGGTTCATTTTGGAGGAGAAAATTTCCTTGGCTGCGGGCAGGTTTTGCGGGCAATAGCAACATTTTGACAGTGGGGTGCAAAATTTGCGCGCTGCATGCTGCCAAGTTTACTGCAGCCGGGAGTGATACTTCGCAGCTTTCCCCTTATGCCACTTTCTCAGTTCGGCCCGAAGTCACTTGGAAGAGCTGGAGGTTTCGGCACCATGCCCAATCCAAGTACCACATTGCCGCTCATGCAGCTGATCCAACTTCTCATGCCCCTGCTGCTGAAGAATGGCAAGACCTCGTGCGCAAGCTGAGCAGAGGACATTCTCAGCGCGACAAAGGGGACGGAACACCATCGACCCGAACCAAGTTGATGCACTATTGCCTTTCCGAAGCTATCTTGCACGCTTACCGCGTCTTCCTGGCCAGTGCCCAAAGCATCACTCTGATGCGGGATGAATCTTGCATTTTCAAGCAAATGTTTCTCATTTAACTCTACTTTGTCGATTTATTATTATCGGGGCCAGACATCCTTTGAACTTTCAGAGTTTGACGTTCCGAGCCCAGGAAAGACAAGGCCGCTTGCTGCTGCGATTTAGGGCAGTGGATGCGAACTTGCGAGTCTGCAGCGGCTGCATTGGGCAGCCTCGCCTGGTTGAAGGTAAGACTTCGGAACACATCGCAAGAGCCACAGTGAAAGCCTTGAAACTATTTTGCACACCTGGCTTTGGTGGGTCAGTGGATGAGGCATTGCTCAGCCACGTTCGGAGCCATGTTCACATCATGGTAACCGATGCTGCGTCAGCTGAATTACTTGCGTCGGATATACTCAGATCTCGGCGCCGGTCAGATCAAGCCGAACTGCAGAGAGATGTTTTTTTCCCAAACATCGTTTTGCTGGGCCGCGATGCAAGCCATGCTTGCATGAGACTGCTGAAACGGCCTTGGCATGTCATGGATGACGTGAAAGACGCTGTTAGCAGCACAGTCACCAACAAAGAATCCTTGGCGCAAAAGATTTTCCACTCCCCGAACTATTCATTTTGGCTGCAAGAAGCCATTGCCAAAGGTGCCGGCCCCCAGACCAGCAGCTTATCGGCGGCAAAGCACCGCTTCGCGTCCTTTGCCAAACCTCTTGGGAGATTTTGTTTGAATATGAGACCGATATTTGATGTATTACACAAAATTTTGGCTTTGAAGGAAGACTGTGACTGGCTGCACAAGTGGATGGACAACGTCTCTGCCAAGAAATTGCTTCTTGTTGCGGCAGCCGCTGATGCAGCTGATACAGTGATGGAATTTTTGCGGCTGATGGACAATGAATCGCAAGACCCGGCCATTCTGAATTCAGAGGTCCACAGTTTTCTGCGCAATGTAGACATCCAATTTGGACAGCCAGGGCAAGTCTTCGACGTGAATGGATACAGCAAGCATTGTCTAGACCTGTTGCAAGCAGAGCCTGGACTCTATGTCAAGCACAGGGGTCAGCAGAAGAGGCTGAGGGTGTCTGCGGGCGATCGCCGTGCTGTCCTGGAAGCCTTCAAACCGTGGGTTCATTTGTGTCATGAGGCTTGCGAGGCTGAGTTTCCGCATTTCCATCTCTTCTCATCGATGAGCGTCTTGGATCTGCGATCTGGTGGCCGGCTAACAGATGACAGATATGCTTGCCTTCAGCGACTAGCCGTCGCCTTGCAAGTTGATGAGCAAGGGCTGGTCTCCGAGTTTGACGCTCTGCGGCCAGTGGCCATGGCATTCCGAGAACAGCAAGATTGCACTAGCAGGGATGCGTGGAAACAAGCATTCCGAAGAAGCCAAGCATCTTCTGCTTTGAGGGAAAAATATGAAACCAAGAATTTGGCCCCTTTGCTTCAAGCGCATGCCTGCTGGACCACCTCTAGCTCTGGCGTGGAGCAAGCTTTTTCCAAAGCTGAGAGGAGCCATGGAGCTAAGCATTTCGGGCCAAAGGCAGCCGATTCAGAGCGTCGAGCGATGGTGTGCTTGACGTACAATGACTCCCCTGCAGCGTCTTTGGCTTCTGTCGTGGACAAGGCCCGTGCTCTATATGCAGCAAGAGTATCCAGACACCTTGGCAAATACCAAAGGAAGCGCCTAGACAAGGGGGTCAAGACAGGTCCTCGAGCAAAACTTGCCGGCAAAGTCGTGGAGAAGACTTGGATCAAGCGTAGGCGGGCTTCTGTCAGGGCAGCCGCTGCAAGCACTTCAGGGCAAAAACCTGTGGACCACGAAGTTGCGATAGCCAATTTGTCACAGAAAGCTCAGAAGGACAGGGCTGGCTGGTCTTAAAAACTTTCTGTAAAGTCGTCGTTTCTTTGCTACCCTCTGCCAGGAAATTGCCAACTCGCGAGAAACGCTTCTGAAGAAGAAGGTGGAGGCGCGTCGTGATGGCTATTTCCTCGGCTTGGGTGCCGCGGAAGGCTTGAGCTTGGAGCAGGCAGCTGCCAAGAGAGCCAGGGAGGACGCCAAAGCAGATCAGGCCATGCATTTGAAACGGAAGAAGCAAGAATCCCAGCTCCTTTCCACAACGAATGCGCGCACATGGAGATGGCAATCACTAGGGCCAGCCAAGGCATGGTTCGCCACTGGATTGCCTCCCACGGCGTGCGCCCCATTGCTGCAGGAGCAGGACCGGAGCTTTTTACTTTCCAGGCATGGGTGGTTCGGGTTTGTTTTTTTTTGCCTCTCGGCCATTTCAAATGCCTAGGACATCCGAGCTGCCTCTGTCTTTGTTGTGGACGATTCAGCTATTCCCTCGAAGGCTTATTTCATGGCCGTGGCAACTGGGGGCTGCATTTTGTCATACTCCTTGCTACTGAAGCGCGCCGGCATCAAATCTCAATACTGCTTGCAGAAGTTGGAGTCTTTGAAACGGAAGTGGCCCACGCTCCACTGCACGCCAGACTTCAAGCAACAAGAGCCAGCCATGACTCATCTCCTGAGGTGGGCGGTTTTTGAGAAGAAAATGTGGTCTGGAGTAGCCCTTGAAAATGTGCGGAAAAATACGATTTGCCTTGTCAAAGACAAGACCGATGCTAATCTGGCCCAGCTGAAACGAGCAGGCGGTCATTGGCACAGCAAAGACGAGTTTGTACAGTTATTAACTGCAGCATGCATCGACTATGGTCGTTCTTTCGGAGTGTCGGCAGCGTGAACGGTGAACATAAAAGTAAAGCGAAAGCCCAGGGCATTGTCTTTTCAAAGTATAGACTTTAAGACATAAGCCATCATCAAGGCAGGCCAAGCGGTCTCCTCCTAGTTGAGTAGGACAGCTTGAGACAAAGTGCTTTCCACTAAAGGTAAGGCAGGCCGACATGGTCTCCTAACTTAACAAAATTGTCAAAGCTAAGGCAGGCCGACATGGCCTCCTCACACTTCGCGGCAAGGTGCCCCCAGGGTCACCTCGCGAAGCCGGGCCGGTCTGGCCTTGCGAGGGAGGGGAGTTAAAAATCGGTGCTACCCTGGGAAATGGCTCGCACAGGGTTGCGTGGATTTTTAACAGGGTTCCCTCGCGAAGCCGGGCCGGTCTGGCTCTGCGAGCAAGCCCTGTTAATGCCCTAGGGTCACCTCGCGAAGAATTTCACACTTTTTCTTGCGAGGCAGGGGTGGGTAACCCGGCAAGCAACTTAGCCGCCTGCGCAATGTCTATGCTCACAGAGGAATGTAGTAGTTTACGATATGTCTTGACACCTGACATTACTCACACTGAGATTCAACAATTCTGTGTTGCAGTGCTAGAAGTCTCACATGTGTTGCAGTGCAAGCGTAGGGCCTCACTCACTTAGAGCATGCCGCGGACAACGGAAGTCGCAGAGAGTAAGCTGGAGAAGCTCGTGGGGAAGCTCAAGGCTTACGTGAAGGAGCACGAAGCTCGGCCATTCCAACCAAGGCCAAAAGGTTCCAAGCTCCGAGTTTTTTCTGACTGCGCTGGAATCAGCGCTGAGACTATCGCTTTGACACTACTAGGACTCAAGCAGTTTTTCACCATCGTTGGTGGAAGTGAAATTGACGAAGTGAAGCGATGTCTCATTGGTGTGGTTCACGAAACCTGCCGGACCAGCTGTAAGTCAGAGTCTTTTGCCACAGACATCTTCCAAAGAGACCCCAAAGATTCCCCAGGTGCCGACATCTACCCTGCAGGGTTTCCTTGCCCTGCATTTTCGAAAATGGGACGCAGATTCGGCTTGCGGGATTCGAAAAAAAGAGGCATTCCATTGGTGGCTGGACTGCGGTACATAGCCTACCACAAGCCGCCCGTAGTTTTGCTGGAGCAAGTGACTGGCTTCTTGGAAATGTGCGGAAAAATATTTTTATATGAAAAAAATACGATTTGCCTTGTCAAAGACAAGACCGATGCTAATCTGGCCCAGCTGAAACGAGCAGGCGGTCATTGGCACAGCAAAGACGAGTTTGTACAGTTATTAACTGCAGCATGCATCGACTATGGTCGTTCTTTTGGAGTGTCGGCAGCGTGAACGGTGAACATAAAAGTAAAGCGAAAGCCCAGGGCATTGTCTTTTCAAAGTATAGACTTTAAGACATAAGCCATCATCAAGGCAGGCCAAGCGGTCTCCTCCTAGTTGAGTAGGACAGCTTGAGACAAGTGCTTTCCACTAAAGGTAAGGCAGGCCGACATGGTCTCCTAACTTAACAAAATTGTCAAAGCTAAGGCAGGCCGACATGGCCTCCTCACACTTCGCGGCAAGGTGCCCCCAGGGTCACCTCGCGAAGCCGGACCGGTCTGGCTCTGCGAGGAGCCTCGCGAACCCGGACCGGTCTGGCTTTGCGAGGTGACCCTGTTAAATCCCTAGGGTCACCTCGCGAAGCCGGGCCGGTCTGGCCTTGCGAGGGAGGGGAGTTAAAAATCGGTGCTACCCTGGGAAATGGCTCGCACAGGGTTGCGTGGATTTTTAACAGGGTTCCCTCGCGAAGCCGGGCCGGTCTGGCTCTGCGAGCAAGCCCTGTTAATGCCCTAGGGTCACCTCGCGAAGAATTTCACACTTTTTCTTGCGAGGCAGGGGTGGGCAACCCGGCAAGCAACTTAGCCGCCTGCGCAATGTCTATGCTCACAGAGGAATGTAGTAATTTACGATATGTCTTGACACCTGACATTACTCACACTGAGATTCAACAATTCTGTGTTGCAGTGCTAGAAGTCTCACATGTGTTGCAGTGCAAGCGTAGGGCCTCACTCACTTAGAGCATGCCGCGGACAACGGAAGTCGCAGAGAGTAAGCTGGAGAAGCTCGTGGGGAAGCTCAAGGCTTACGTGAAGGAGCACGAAGCTCGGCCATTCCAACCAAGGCCAAAAGGTTCCAAGCTCCGAGTTTTTTCTGACTGCGCTGGAATCAGCGCTGAGACTATCGCTTTGACACTACTAGGACTCAAGCAGTTTTTCACCATCGTTGGTGGAAGTGAAATTGACGAAGTGAAGCGATGTCTCATTGGTGTGGTTCACGAAACCTGCCGGACCAGCTGTAAGTCAGAGTCTTTTGCCACAGACATCTTCCAAAGAGACCCCAAAGATTCCCCAGGTGCCGACATCTACCCTGCAGGGTTTCCTTGCCCTGCATTTTCGAAAATGGGACGCAGATTCGGCTTGCGGGATTCGAAAAAAAGAGGCATTCCATTGGTGGCTGGACTGCGGTACATAGCCTACCACAAGCCGCCCGTAGTTTTGCTGGAGCAAGTGACTGGCTTCTTGGAAAAGAAGCATTGGCTGGCCCAGAAGATGCTTCGCAAAACATTTGCTGCTTGCGAGGATTGCTTTTTTCCGTGCGTGGCCGTGGCCGTGGCCGTGGCCGTGGCCGTGGCCGGCTGGGTGGTTGGGATAGCCGGCTGGCCGGATGGCCGGGTGGCCGTGGCCAGTGGTCGGGTGTGTCGTCGGTGGCCGGGTGGCCGGGTGGCTGGGTGGCCGGGTGGCCGGGTGGCTGGGTGGCCGGGTGGCCGGGTGGCCGGGTGGCCGGGTGGGTGGCCGGGAGTCTGCCATCCGCTTGCATACCAAGCAGCTTGTCTTTTCGTACATTTCGGGGAATTTAGCCATACACGTCAGTGCTAATTATACGCGCAGGCCAGTAGCAAAGCAGCAAGCCTGCGCAGCAAAAGAAGAGCAAGTAGCGTAGCAGATGCACATGCAACAGACGAGCCAGTAGCGTAGCAGCAAGTCTGCGTGCACATACTTAAGTAGTGTATCAGCAAGTCTGTGATTTATCTATCTAGTTGTCCATTCTTTCTATTCGCTCTATTCGTTCCAATCTATTTATCTTGCTAACCATCTAATCTACTCTACTCTACTTCACTCTAATCTAATCTGAACTAGTCTAAACCAATCTAATCTAATCTAACCAAATCTAATCTAATTTGCCTACGGCCTATTTACGCTAGGCTCTAATCGATCTAATCAGTAAAACCCTGAATCTAATCTATCTAATCTATCTAACCTCTCCATCCTTTTACATCAATCTAGTCTATCCAATAGATCTAACCCATCTACTTTGTTTAATCTACCTACTCTACCCCATCCATCTAGCCAATCTACTCTACCCAATCTATCTAATCTATCTAATCTACCAAACCGATCTACTTTACCTAATCCATCAAATCTATCTAACCTATCTAATCTATCTATAATCAATCCATCCATCCATCTGTCTATCTAGCTATCTATCCATCGATTGATCCATAGATCGATCGGTCTGTCCATCTTTCTAGGCTGATCTTTCTAAACCCAACTTGACAATCAATCGATCCATCAGGTCTACCAATCTATCTACCTATCTTGCTTTCCACCTATCTAATCTGATTAATCGTCCTAATCTGTTGATCAATCTAACTACCAATCCTACCTCATGTAGCTAACCTGCCCAATCGATCTAATCTTTCTAACCCACCTACTCCACCTAATCTATCTAATCTATCCAGCCACCCTATACTCTATATAATCGACCTAATCTATCTAGCGTACCTAATCTAGCTAATCTGGCTAGTCTAGCTGATTTATCGATCTAGACATCTTTCTTCTCTATTCTTCAAATGATTCTATTTCTACCTCTTTTTCTATGCCTATTTCATTCTTATGCATCCAACCGTATTCTATTCTAGTCTGTTCTATGCTGCTCTATTTTGTTCTAATCTATATCCATCAAACCCGCCTAGTCGATCTAATCTAACTCATCTAACCTATCTACTCTATCAAATCGATCTCATCTATCTACCCGATCAAATCTATCTATTCCATCCGGTCAATCTAGTCTACATAATCTTTCTAATCTTTTCAATCTATCTTCTCTATCTAATCTATCGCACCTATCTATCCACCTATCCATCTATTCGTCTATCCGCCTACCCACCTATCTATCTATCTATCTGTCTGTCTGTCTGTCTGTCTATCTATCTATCCATCCATCCATCCATCCATCCATCTTTCCACCTATCCACCTATCCATCTACCCACTTATCCACCTATCCATCTATCCACCTATCCATCTATCCGTCTGTCATCCTATCTATCTATCCATCCATCCATCTATCTACCTATCTACCTATCTACCATTCTCCCTATCTACCTATCTGTCT